ATTATAGAAATACGTAATTGCAGAATTTACTATGTGCTTGTATTTTGAACACATACATACATGCATACATACATACATACACACATGCATACATACATATTGACATTGCGTGTGCATGTATGCATGTTCTGGTAGTCATATTCGCCGTTTTCATGTGTTGGTTGACTTGTACCATGCTCCCCTTTTTCAGGGCCCTACATGGACATGGCCTCCAGGCGCTGGTCGAGGCCCAGGGGCCAGCCGCTCGTCAGCAGCACATCGATGCCCCCTCAGAGCACTTGGGACACATGGGTGGGACATCTTGGGGGGTTTTGGGTTTTGGGTTTAGGGGCACGTAGAACTGCCCTTCAAATGTCCCTAAACTTTCTTGTAAGCGTGCCCAAGCCCACCGGCCACCATCCCGAGTGATTGAAGCCCTCGAGTGCATACGGTATGCGCACCAAGCTGCTTTTCCACTTGTCCTCTGCAACAACCCGCCTGGCAAAAGCAGGCAGTCTTGGACCACCGCTCGCACAAGAACTGTGTTTGCCATGATCGTGATATCGCAACCCTGCTGCCGATGCTGGCCACATAATTTCAGTGACCCTGTCATAAACACTTCTGACCGGTTTGCGATTGTGAGGATATCTTGTGCAACCGCTGCTTAATTCATTGCTGCGGGAAGACTCTAAACCCCGTGCATGTTAACTTCCTGTCTGCTGGCCTTAGGCCGGTAACTGCGTTCGCTGTGAACGCACTGCCCACGAAGTCTGCACCAGGCGTCTCATACCTAGTGCGCCACTCATATGCTGAAGCAAAGGAGCCCTCTTCGAACAGCTGAACATTACCACACACAGCATTGCTCTTTGGAACCCTCAGCCAAGGCCCGGCTTCTGAGGGTTATAGTCTCCAGATAGAAATGCCACTCGCAGGCCACAGATCCTCAAATTGTCGAACGCTTTCCGGTTGGCCAGGTAACCACCATGTAGAACGAACAACCTTCAGCCTGCTTGACTTCTCTTCTCAACGGGGACGTGGGGGTTTCCATGAGCTGCTGCCCAGGACACGTCTTGACCCCGTAGCCGCCGAGGAAGTGCAGATTCTGACAGAGCGTCCCTCGGCTGGTCTAGGGCCATGTCTGTAGGGCTCAGAAGAGGCGAGGGCCCAGGGCCGAGCCTCGGGATGCTTCTCATCCAAACTGACAACCTGAGAAGCTGCCAAACCCTTCAACTTTCTCGGCCCAGAGGCGCCCCTGGGGCGCAGCCTGAAGAAGCACTGGGCAGGCATCGATGAAAAAGGTCCTGGAAACAAGGATGTGGCTACCGATACGACTGAGCTGAAAATAGTTGTTTGAGAAGTTACTGTTATCGAACTCACAGCTCAATGAACTCAATGGCAGCCATAAACAACAGCCAAGCCACTCCATCGGCACCTGCTTCTCACCCTTCAGATATGGTATAAGGCCTGCAGAGACCATCACTGGTGGACGGCTCTCAGGTTGGCTTGAATGACTCGGCAGAAGCCAGTCGTCGAACAAGGTCGCATGAACTGAAAGTGTTTCGGGAGGCGATGCTGCTTCGTCGAGAGAACATGACAAGAGCCATCGTCGAGCTGTCGCCCACGTGACCGGCCTTCGAAGCCTGTCTCTGGAAGCGTGCGGCCTACGCACAGCAGCGCCTCCGAGGCAGCAGCGTTGCATCCACCGTGACATGCTCTCAAAACAGAGCCAGGCTAGGTTGGACAGTGCTTGCAGAACACAAAAGGACACCCAGCAAATCCGAAACAATGCACCAATCATGAATCATCACCAATCGGTAGCAGGCCCAATGCGGGCGCCTCGGCCCCGCCGACCTTGGCCGCTTGCGCCTTGGGATATAAGGGCGAAAGAGCCGCCTGCAAAAGGCCTAAAATGGACCCAACCTTTTCTTGCAGAATTTTACGGCTTGGCCTGACGACCTGCACTAAAAATGGACGTCTATACACCTGCAAGCTCTGCTTTTCAATGTGCCTGCACAGTGGACAAGAGCTTGTCCTTAGTCGACAAGGGTTCACTGCAGAGACCAGGCGGGGGGTGAGGTGAGGGGGTAGTTTGTGCCCTCTTATGACAACCACAAACCCTATAGTCAGTGAAGGAGGAGACGACAGAAGGCCAGCGTCAATCAGACCATATGTGACATTTGCATGATTTTGCGTGGCGAGGGTACTCCATGTTTGCCATACTGCAGCCTGTGGATGTGTGTGGGTTCTTGAGCCGATCAGCCCCGCAAGCAAAAGAAGGCAAAACCCAAAACTTCCATCATCCCAAAGCCTGAGAATGCTACGTATGCCTTTCGTTCGGTTTCTACTAGGGGTTCAGGCTTAAGACCTCAACCCGGAAATCGATGCGCCAGAGTCTCAAAGTTGCCGCGCGCGTCCCCACTGACAAAGATTTTGTGAGGCCGCGCCTCCTGTACGGAAGGTTTCAGGTTTGGGGCTTGGGGTTATATAGCCTAAGGCCTAAGGCCTGTGGATCTTGTAGCAAGTACGGGTCATCGCCCGGATTGCCTCGAGGCTTGCAGACCTCGCGCAACTTAGAGCCACCTACAGCCCAACAACCCAACATTCAAGGAGACCGGTTGTTCCTAGAACCCCGAGCCACTCCCCCGAAACCTTCTGATGCCCAAACCCATCTACACACCCCAAGCATCTTGCAAGCATCTTGCAAGCCCACATACGTTAACGGGGTCTCAACATGTCTCACAAACGAACCCCCTCGCCTGGGCCAGCTTCTCGGCAACCTTGCGCTTCAGAGCCTCGGCTCTGAAGATCGGGATTCGGGCTGACGGTTTTACGGTTTTACGGTTTTAGATGTACTGCCTTTAACATGTGTAAAAGTCCAACAGATGCCCCCAAGGCAAGCCTTATATTAAAGGAGCCGAGGCAACTAAGGCAAGGTTGCGCCACCATCAACTTGCTTGTTTCCGGCAGTTGCTGTGTCTTCATTGCACATGGGAGTGCAGCCGCTCTAGGGTTCTATGGCGAGGCCCGTAAACCCACGGCAGAGGCAAGACACCGAAGAAGCTACGATGATTGTAGCTCACCGCGCTCAAGACCCTCCCTCTGCTGGCCAGGTACTGCTTCCCGCTCCGCCTTGGCAGGTCACGGTCAGCTCTTGGGGTTTCTCTCGCTATTCGGCCCATTAAGCATCACGCAGTGTGGGGCTGGGTCTGCGGCCACTTCTCGTTTCTTCTTGTCCTCTGCCTGCACGGGGGCCCCAAATACTGAAATATTGGAAGCAAGGCAGCCCTGAACTGGACTCTAACTACATCCGCAAGCAACAAAGCAGCCACACAGCTGGCCTGCTTCTTGATTCTGTCCAGCTCATGGAAGCCTGGTACATGTCAGAGCCGTGCAAAAGCGGGCAGGCTGGGAATGAACTGCGCGGCATTACGCTGCGGCCATGCCACGGTCCATCATGTAGGCCTCAGCCGAAGCGAAACAGGCGCAGCCATCGGAGCACCAGAAACATCCAGAAACACAACCCTTCGTCTGCACCTGAAAGCGATCCTGCATCTGAGTGGCATTGTGCTCACGCTCGGCGGCCCTCTTCCTGGCGCGCTCTCGCGCTTCCTTCCTCGGAACCAGGCGCAGATGGTCAAGGCAGCCAATGAGGGAAAGGTACAGACTGCGGTACAGAATGCATCTGTCAACGTGCTGGTTCTAGATAAAGGGCATGTCGTCCGTCATTCTGGATCACCGCACACGCCTAGCAACGGAGTCTCAGCGCAGTAGAAAGGAAAAGCTGTGAACAGCTGTCAACAACCCCCCTAAAATGCCGCAAGCAGCCATTTGTCAAAAACGGGCCTGGCTCAAAGGTGCAGCCGCGAGCCACGACCACCAGAGGCCCAACAAGTGTCAACTGGGCAACCCACGAAGAATCAGAAGTTGCACTCGAGTGCTGCTGAGCACTATAAGCTCTCTAAGCCGCTAGAACGAGGGTCTCTTGGGGTGCATCCCGGTTGGCCCAAGAGCTTGTGGCCTTGAGGTTGGAGGCCCCATAGGGCAGTTTTTAGGGGCATGCTTAAAGGGTGTGAAAGGGTGTGAAAGGGTGAGGAAGCATCTGCCTCAAAGGCCCAAGAGGACAAAAGAATAGAGAGGGCGGATCTGAAAGGGATCAGGGATGGCGAATCCTCTGGAATGGCCGCGTCAAGGCAGGGTGCGTCTGAATTCAGGATGAGTCGATCTCGGCAGTGGCGGACGCGGAACGGGCACAGCAATCCTTTTCTATTTTCGCTGGGTCCTCTGGGCAGATGTTTTGGAACCCAGCACCATCCACCATTCAGGCCTTTGCTCATACTGCTCTGGGCCCTTTCTCTTGTGCCCTTTTGGTGGGTGGTGGAAATCTGGAAATTCTGTGCATCTGGAGACCCAGCAGCCCTGCAAGGACTTCGTCCAGCGCGGGAAGTACCAGAAACCTCCAGGAGGGTGCCGGCGGTGCAAGGAACATCAACAATCCACCAAAGGTTTCAATGGAGGCAATTGAGACGCTCCACTGAGACCACTGCGGAGGCCAGCACTTGCTTCACCTACACCCTTCCAAACTACCAACGCCAAGAGGAGCCCTTACCTCCTCTACGGTATGGCATCGCGCAAAAATGGAATGCTAGTCGTGCTGTCTGCACAGCCTAATGCACTCACCATTCTTAGAGTGCGGAATCATGCCCAGGCTGATGACACGATTGTCGGAATTTCGGGGAGGAAGCCTTCGTACTTCGTGCTCACACGCACGGTAGTAAAGAAAGTCTGTTGCTGCCCTTTCTGCGATGCAAAGTAGCTGCCGCCCCCCCCTCAAGTGCCTAGCACGCATGCTAAGACGGCTTTAGCCGGGGTCCGTGCATGCATGGCGGGAGCATCCAGCCTGCCCTAAAAGGGCCTGAAGAAAAACTGGGTTTATGGGCTTAGGGAGCATGCGATATGCTATGGCATCCGTCTTCTTTCCCATTGACATTTCCTGTCATTTCCTCAGGCTGCCGTCATCGTCGCTAAGCGGAAGACAACGATCGCAGCACCTGCCCACAGAGCTCAAAACCTGCCCAACACTACTCAAAGCTGCTGAAACCTGAGCGAAGCTGCTCAAACCTCAAGCCTTCAGCAAGGACTGAGGGGTCCCTCAGCGAAGCGCTGCCCTATGTCCCAACCTGGGGCCGAACGCCAAGGTGGCCGGACTCGTCCTCGCCTTCCACCTGGAGTACCGCACCTTAGGAAACCCCAGCCCGAGCTGCGGCCTCAGACATCTTGAGGGCTCTTAGGGGCTCTTTTGGGGGCTTTCCCTCCAAGGTTCCGGCCATCGTTGTGGTTGCCCTCGTAGTCGCGAGCTGAAAAGACCCGCACGAGGGACTCATTGTGCATCACGTCGAACCCTTGGAAGCCGGTTCGGAGGCTGTCACAGGCTCACGAGGGCGTTCCGATGTGTTTCACGCAAGGGACTGTGACCGAACTTCAGAGAGGCCTAAACTAGCCTAGACATGCCCAAGCTAACCGAAGCTCAGCAGAACTCAGAGCCGAGCCCAGGCCCCACTTCTTCGACCTACCAGCTGGCAGTGTGACCATACGACTGCTGACTGCTGAGGTCGGAGTTAGCTCCCTCTTCTCATTGATTTGTTCCATTTTGCTTTCTTTCTTTGGGGGGGGGGGGGGGGAGGGAGGGGTCTGCTTCACCTCAGCTTGTCTCATCTACGATTCCCTAAACTGCCGCTGAGGTAAGCACTGGTGACTTCGCACCACAAGGTCGAGACTGTTGCGGACGCAAAAGTCCTGTGCGGCTGTCCACGATACCAGTACCACGCCAGTACCCTAGAAGGCCTAGCACACTGCGAGCGGGCAACGTCAAGGTCTACCAAAGGAGCTTGCCAACCTTGATGACAGCCCCCCGCACTCAGCCCTGTTCATTTCGATTTACGTGAATTTCCTCGGATGGAAGTGACTGGCTGTCGTAACCCTCCCGTCCTGCGTGACATTCCAACCTCAGTTTGGGCTTTCCCTTCTGAGAACATCCCACGGAAATCTTGGCATCTTTGTGATGCTCTAGGGCTTGCAACATATACCCTGCTCGAGGCCCCAACCGAAGCGCACAGCGATTTTGCTGCGCGCCGAATTGTGCCTCCAGGATTGCACGGTGAAGAGTGCAATCATAGGCAACCGAAGGGTGGGATTCCAGGTACGATATACAGTGTTGCTACAGTACACACCAGTACCGGTGCCAACAGAGGCCCTGGCACTCCGAAGACTTTGGAAACAGCACTGTCGTCCTCGATGGGGTCCGACCTGTCAGCCGACTGCGAGCCCAACGCGACCGACGCACAACTTCCCTGCAACCACTTTGAAACCATTGTAGTATATTGTAGTCACTCTGCCAGTCGTAGATTTCTTGGGGTGGTCTATGGTCCTGCACCATGACCTGCACCCCAGGAGTCCAAGCCCGGCACCAAAGGATGTTCCAAAGTATACGATTCTCTGGCGCCTCCGAGGAAAGGGCTTGGAAGGGAACTAGTTTCGCCCATGCTTGCAAGCGTCATAGGGTTCGGGAACGATCAGGCCGTGCAAGACTGGGGCACCCCCCCCGCTTTCTTAACGTGGCAGTTGCGGTCTGAGTCTAGGCAACTTGCTGTCAAAATTCCCGGTGGCCAGTTGCCCTGGTGCCGGGCTATACAAGTCCGAAAATGGGATGTCGCGGCTTCAGCCGCTCGAAAGCCACGGGGCCCAACGTGGACTATACAAGTCACAGAACTCTCGAAGTTCCATTGCAAAAAATATTACAAGTCTTCCAGCCATCTGCCACGTGCGGTCCGCTTGGGCGGACTTCGGCAACAAGAGGCAAACAAGAGGCAAACGTCGCACTTGCGACGAACTAAACGGCTGCCATCTGGCAGCACTCAACTCGGAAAAGCTGGAAAAGCTGTCAGCGAAATGCTGGCAGATCCTAGCAAACTACCGGAGCGCACCCATCCTTTCAGACGGTCTGTTTGGGAGTCGCGCTGGTCGCCCCTTGGTTGGGCACAGGAAGGCCCACCGCCACATCTCCAGTTAACTGGGGGCTATTGTACGGCTCGTTCACAGGCTTCGGCTTTGTCAAGCGATTGTAGAGGCAGTAGGAGCCAACCCCAGCACCGATCAACACGAGCGTGACGGACACGGCGACTGCGGCAACAGCAACCGCAGAGCCGTCATCTCCGCTGGCGTCTGTCTCTGCGCCAACCCGCTCCTGCAGTGCAGCTTCAAGACTTTCCCCCTCAACTTCAGCCTAACAGTCTAACAGTACGCAGTACACGTACAGCCACAAGGATGACCGACTCAGCTGCACCTGTTTTGCAAACAACACCTGAAGCTCGCATCAACGCAAGTTCGCGCCCAGGGGGTCTTTCTGCAAGCCGAGTCACCTGATCCTCCTCGCACGAGAAGCATTGGTGGGACCAGGTGGCATCTGGGAAGTCAAGAGCGCAAGCCCCCTCGTAGATGTTGCCTTGAAAGCCGTTTAGATTTGGAAGACATTCTCAACCGACAACAGAACAATCCTGCTAACATCTGCTACCATCTAGCCACCGAGTGACAGTGGCAGCCCGACTCTGGGCCATCTCCCGGCACAAAGCAGCCCCACGACGAGCCGTGGCAGCATGACCAGCACTCGTGAGTCCAGGACTTGTTCGCTGCCAGGTCGCAAGCTCGCTCTGAGACCGTGCACTGGCAGGCGTGGCTGGCCTCATCGAAGCAGCCCCAGGAGTACTGCTTCTGGCACTCGGGATGCTGCTCGTTGGTCACTGCATCGCAAGACCGGCAGCCATCTGTCCAGGATCCTTGCTGGGCATGGCACTGCGACTCCGTGATGCCGCAGTCGCACTTGTGGGTCTCCACGTTGTAGCATCCCGTCCCGGCTTCGGCCACCACAAAGCCATACAGCATGCCCGCGAGCACGATCATGTCCTGCTTCTTCGTCACAGGGATGAAAGATGAAAGGCTGAAACGCTGATTTTGGGTCGCAACCGCGAAAGGGACCCTTTTCCCCGGTAAGCGGTCTACATGCAGAACTTTCTGAGACGCATTGCATTAATTATTATGACCAAATAACGTCACACATGCTCAGTGAACCTCTAAGAGTTTAAACGTTTGTGTGTAGGACACGGCAGAAGATGGATTGGCGCTGAATGGAGAAGCCGAGGTTCCGGTCGGAACATGTTCGGCGTCGTCTCGGAAGCGGGAGCGGGCGAAGCAGGTGGAGCAGGAAGCTGAAGCAAACAGCTAAAGCCCGGAACACACAACAGGTGTGACAAACATGTCTTGGCGCTGCGAGGCATTAGACTACACTTCCACCCTAAAAGCATCCCGAAGACTCAGACCCTAAACCAAGCCTCAAAACCTTCCAGCCTTTCAATGCTTTAGGCCCTCAACTCCCAAAGCCTCAAACACCAAAGAGGCCAGGTCCAAGCCAGCCCCCCATGGCCCCTAAAGCGCCGAAGGCCCTTGCGACCCAGAGCCTCCCCCAGCATCCCTAAACTTCTCTCACTCTCCCTTTTAAAAAACCCAGAAACACCTGGAGCTGCTCGTGGTTCAGCGGCCGCCGCACTTTGCGCACGTCTTCCAAGCGCCTCGGAAGAAGTCTTTGGGCCGATGTGAACACTCAGTTTCAGGACCTGCCTCAGGCTTGCTAAGTGTCGTTTTCTTAGTGGCGCAGGGGGTTGAGCATACTTCACAACTACTGGTTTCGGGTTTCGGGTTTGGGGGGCTGTCGAGCTTCGCAAACCGAACGGCACACATCCACCTGTTGCACAGTCTGGTCCCGAGCTCCGCGCCATTTGCCGTCACCAATGCCGCCGTGCCTCACATTAACAATTAGAGAAAATGAGAACTGGGGCGTGCAGCAAGAACGCTTCGCAAATCGAGGCATCCCATGGAAGCCCCTGCGACAGAGCCATAGGAACCTCCTGTATAACCTACTCAATTCGCCGCGCTATGCCCGGGCCAAAACCCGATCCCTCCCATGCCACAACGAGTGCCCCGGCAGTGCGAGGACTTTGCCTCCCACAAGACAGGCCTTGGCTCCAGCTGATGCCCCTTTTATATCCTTTTATTGGGCCGTTTCGTCTTGAGGTTTCCGGTTTTCGGGGGGGGGGGGGGGAGCTTCTGTACCAAAACGACCTTGCTCGAGCAGCCGCTGCCAGGGCCCTGGCAAAGGGAAGGTACTGGAAGCAGCGAGAGAAGGCCTTGGGATGCCACTGCAGCTGTTGTTATTGTGGTTGCCACTGCCCCCTAAACCCTCTCGGACTCTCGACATCTCTCGACCCTCTGGATTGTGTTGTGGCTGAAACCGGGCTTAAGGGAGTGCGGGGGCTGCAACTTCGGCTTTCTCAAAGCCTGGGGTTGGGGCCGTTTCCATCCGGGAGGTTTTGCAGGGGGGGATTGAAGACTCTCGAGTTCCGGTGTTAGAACCTTCAAAGCTTCAAGTCTGGGGCACCGGCGGTGTAGACTCTGAAGCCTGCTTCGCCTGGGAAAGCCTGCAAGACCACCTGCAGGGGGCTCTCTCCCATGCGAAAGAGCAGGGGCTTGTCATGCCTTCTGGAAGCCATACTTCTCGTTCATTGTCGAGTCCTGCAAGCCAGAGCCAGTTGGGATATCAAAGTGTGCTGCGTGCACTTTTGCAACGCGCGCCTCCACACCGAACGTCCCAGTACCCCATCCCAGTACCCAACCCTCCTCGTGGTTTCCTCGGTTGAGGTACACCTGGGTCGGGAACAGAACCTGGCATCTTCACAAACAAGACCAGGCCCGGGTGTGATTCTGAGTCTTCCCCGCGTGCAGCTGCTACTTTGAGCAGCAGTTCTGCAGTGAAGGCAGATCCCAAGCTGTTTCCGCGGCTGCTCCATGTCTTCGGGCAGAAGAGCGGCAACACCGCTGCTTCAGACTTGACGGGAAGTTGCGGCACGAACATTGCAACCTTCGCAATGGCAGCCTTGAGGGCAAAGAGCACAACCACGGTCTCCACCTGATGCCTACGGCAACTCGAGGCGCACAGAGAAGCTCCCAGCCCATCACATTCCCTTCTCTCCTCTCTCTTCCTCTGTCTCCCTCTCCAGTCTCTCTCCACTCTCTCCCCTTCCCTCTTTTCCTCGAACCCTTTAGACTTCCCTCTCCCTGAGAGCGCCTGCCACGATCCACGAAGTCCCCGTTAAAGACGCAGCGAGGGCAGTCAGCACTCCCCGGCCTCGCTGACAGAGGGAAGGCAGAACGGAAAAAACGGAAAATGCCCCGCCCCCCTCCCAAAGAAAAGACTCCGCAACCCTTCAAGATTTAGGAGAAGAGAGAGAGAGAGAGAGAGAGAGAGAGAGAGAAAGAGACAGAGAGACAGAGAGATAAAGAGAGATAGAGATAGATAGAGAGAGATAGAGAGAGATAGAGAGAGATAGAGAGAGATAGAGAGCGAGGCCCCCCCCCTATTATCCTATTTTCCCCTCTTCTCTCTTTATCGCTCTCTCTTCTTCTTCTTCTTCTTCTTCTTCTTCTTCTTCTTCTTCTTCTTCTTCTTCTTCTTCTTCTTCTTCTTCTTCTTCTTCTTCTTCTTCTTCTTCTTCTTCTTCTTCTTCTTCTTCTTCTTCTTCTTCTTTCTTCTTCTTCTTCTTCTTCTTCTTCTTCTTCTTCTTCTTCTTCTTCTTCTTCTTATTCTTCTTCTTCTTCTAATTCTTCTGATTCTTCTGCGCGCTTTGAGGTCCCGGGGCAGGGAACTCTCTCTCTCTCTCTCTTTCGCTCCCTCGCTCGCTCTCTCACTCTGTCTCTTTCTCTTCTCTTCTCTTTCTCTTTCTCTTTCTCTTTCTCTTTCTCTTTCTCTTTCTCTTTCTCTTCCTCTTTCTCTTTCTCTTTCTCTTTCTCTTTCTCTTTCTCTTTCTCTTTCTCTTTCTCTTTCTCTTTCTCTTTCTCTTTCTCTTTCTCTTTCTCTTTCTCTTTCTCTCTCTCTTTCTCTCTCTCTCTCTCTCTCTCTCTCTCTCTCTTTCGTTGAGAGTTGCGGAGGGTGTGGGTGTTCAGGGGGAGAACGTGTTTCTTGTAAGTTGGGGCGCCCGGGGCGCCCGGGGTGCCGCCAGGGGTTGCTGCTGTGCACCTTCTCGAGCCCCTGGGCTCGGCTCTTAGGCTCGGACATGCCGAAGGAGTGGAACCTCAGGCGGCGCATCCCATGCCTCCCTGCGCAAGCCCCTTCAACGCCAGTCAAGCGCCAGCCCAGCCCTTCCCCTCAGCTTCCGCACAGCAGAAGGACGTCTCGTAGCTGCCCATGGATGTCACCGAAAATCTTGCAGGGGACATCTACCTGCAAACAGACAGCATGACCTTTTGCAGAGGAATGGAGCCATTGAGACCTCCGTGAGCGTCGGCTGCGCGGCGAGGACGTGCTGGCACCCGTCGATCAAGGCCAGCACACCTCGCAAGGCAGATCTCCTGAGCCCCCGCCGCCCCAGCCCCGAAACCATCTCTGCCATTTTGAGCCCCAAGCTCCTGAACCGTAAACCCCACAACTCCATATACGAGGGTTTGAGGGCCCATTTTTGGGCCTTCTGATTCTAACATACTCATATTCCTGATGATACACTATCAGTCCAGGCTTAGGATCACCTGTGCCTAGTAAGGCCCCTTATGCAGAGAGGCCCCCCAGAAGCGAATCTCCCCCTGGCTTCTGGGGTCCCGGCTCTGGGCCGCCTCCACGTCGCTCTCCACACCTAAGAGCCGAAACCTGGAGGAGGGATTCGCGCGGTTCTCGAGAATACTCCAGAATCCTCTACAAGTAAATTGTATTTACTTGTGGCCACTTGTAGATGCTTATCGTTTCCATGGCCTGGAGGACAAAGGAGCTTTCTGTTTGGGCGAGGTTTGCAAGAGTCTGCAAGTGCGCGGCATTCAAAACAGTGGGAAGCTTGCTGCAACATGATGCTGATTGATGCTGAGCACGTGGCAGCAGGTTCCCTGCCTCCCAACGGTTGTGCTCAATATCCTGCGTTCCAGGACATGATCCCGCTCTGTACCCGTGACCCGGCACATTCCCCCAGATCTTCCGTTGCACAGCTTTCTGTTTCGGCCGAATGCCATTTCGGCCGAATGCCATTTCGGCCGAATGCCATCCCTCGAACTTCCGGAAGCTAGTGGTTCCCACCTGCTCGAGTGCCAGCTCCGGAGCCATCTGCTGGATCTGAGAGTACACCTCTCGGTCTCATACTCTCTCTGTCTCGTCCGGTGTCCCACGCACTTCCAGAATCTTCCAGACATGTTCAGATGGATGCAACCTTTGGAAGCCTTCCCCAGAAAACACACGAGAGTAGAGCAGAGCAGAGAGAAGAGAGAGAAGCGCGTGAAGAGAGGACCCAAGTTGACGTAACCCCGGCAACGCTCCAAGTTGAAGTCGAGCGCACCAAGCCTGACGCGCCACCCTGGTGCAGGGAGCCTGAGACGATCACAGGATGCATCGAGCCAGCAGTTTTTCCAGTACTTGTAGCCACGCCAAACAGCACCGGTCCTCGGCGTCAAGGGCAGACCTTGTCACGAAATAAGAGGAAGTTGGAGGGATGCCCGGGCATTGGTAAAACTGAATAAGAGGGCTCTCAAGGACCAAACAAACAGCAAGCACCCATTGCGTGGCCATGAAACGGCATAAAAATGGCCAATTTCGAATCTATTGGGAGAGTCTTTCACGCAACTCACATCTCCACTTCCTATGGGGAGGGAGGGGAGGGAGGGAGAGGGTGGAGGGAAGGAGGGAGGGAGGGAGGGAGCGAGGACCGGGCATACGTCACATACTTCAACGCTTGCCACATCTCTGGCAGCCAGCCTCGTTCTCCGCTCATGGATGACGCGCTTCGGCACCTCCTGAACCTGCCTCGGTTTCGGTTGAAACACAAGAAGAGGCATTGGCCCTCACCCGGCTCGAAGCAAAACTTGGTGCTTCTGGGTTTACACATGCTGACACATGCTGACATGCTCTGGGGCCGCCGACACCTCACCGGTTTCATAGTCGAGGAAATCATATTCTCGATGGATGTAAACCTGGCTCGGCACTTGTCACGGCTCTTGTCACGGCTGTCACATCGGGGCAAAAAGATCCGCTCCGCAAGAAATCAAGCCGGCTGCGACGGATGGACCGCAGTCCTTGAACACAGCAGGAATCGAAGCGCAAGACTGGATGGCACGTGTGATTTCTGAACTAGCTGCTAGCTCCAGCTGGCCTTGCAAACATGGACGTGGGAACACTGCGTGCACACAAAGTGCATGTCACCCGGCCTGAGGTACACTTGGTTCCACACACAACAGCGTCCAAAACATGCAGCAAGAGCAGATGCGAGCAGTCATGTCAACCCTTGCAATTGCAGCAAGAACTTGTGGCTTTGTTATGGCCCTCTGGCTCCTTCTCATGTGCAGTGTCTCAGGGGCCCTCAGGCTATTGCACGAGAGCACCCTATCTTTAAACCCGAGCCAGGCAGAATCTGTTCAACAGCAAAGCCCGGCACAGAATATCCTCTTCACAGCGTGTGCACTCCTGACACTGGTGGGACAAGCATTCAGCTCCACTTTTGCCACAAATCATTCGCCCCCCCTTGCCCCATGCCCGATTCCTGCGAGGGACTGCACATCAGGAAGGTCTGGTAGGTCGGCAGACGAGCATAGCGGTGCAAGGGCCGTCCTAGGCAGCACTTTGAGGAAAGCTAGCAGCATGGAGGGACGCAGCACCATCCAGGCAGTTCCTCTAAGGAAAGGGGGGGGGGGGGGCCGGCTGGGGGCCGGCTAGGGGTGGCAACCTCATGTTAGGCATCCACGACTGCCTTGCTGTAGAGTTGCCTGATCAGACAATTATCAACACCCAAGGTCACCCAATCTCGAGTTGACCCAAGAGCAAGATTGCAAGCAACAACTCGGGCAAGCTCTAAGGAGCTACTGTCGCTTTCGTGAAACACGTGTTGCCGCAGCATGGCACAAGAACCTCTCAAAAGCTCAGAACATCTTTGACGCAGTCTTAGCCTTAATCTTCTCAAGACCCCTTCAAAGACGCGCCCAATGGTGACATGCCAGACTGAAAGTGTCGATGCATGGGAGAACCGGGTCTCGGACCGCATTCACAGAGCGCCCGCTGCTGAGAGCTGTTAGAGAGATGGTTCTCGCCATCCTCAACTCTCCTGCGAGATTGGTGGGATTTGGGCACCGGGAGGTTCGGGGGGGTGGGGGAGGGGGGGGGGGGGGGAACTTTTCAGAAATCCAATATTCCGGGAGCTTAGGCTTAAGCCTAGCCAAGACCATGATTGCATCTTTCCTAAAGTCATGTGAAAACAGAAAGAAGCCTCTAGTAACATTGTTGGAGCAGTCTTGTGAAGGCCTTCCTAAGTATTTGCAGCCAGCAGCTCGCTCCTAGCAGCCTCGTCCCATTCGACCTCATCTTCGAGGACATCCTGGAAAGGGTGTGGCACCGCCACCGAACTAGAGTCGAACTAGAGTCACTGGAGGCGCCAGAGCGCGGTGCAAAACAAAGGCTCGCCTCGTAGATTCTGCAGGCCATGATGGGCGAATCCAAGCAGCAAGAACAGGCAAGAGTAACTAAACAATTCTGCTCAACATGAAGGTCGCGATCCGTTACGGGCTTGGAGTTCAAAACGATGATGGCGCAATCGCATGTACTCTAGAGCAAAACGCACTGCGGAGCTGCTCGATGCAGTCAAACGCAACCGGGGACCGTATGGCTGGGCATGGCCTCTGAGAATATGACACCGCCGTTTCGATGAGACTTTTTTTATACCGGCTCTTGGCTTCTGTGGTCAAAGGGCCCTTCGGGGAAAAATGCCTTTGACGTTCATCTACGCTTAGGTGAGTATTTCTGGCACAAGAACGAGTCGTGTTTCCTGCGTTCCTTCTGATCGAAATGTCTCGGATAGGCGCTGCCGCTAAAGCCAGGTTCATGCCATGCCTTCCTAGATAACGAAGTGCCGCACCGCTGCGCGTCTAGAGCAGCCTCATTGACTCCAGTCATCTCTTCCTGACGAACTACTCACAACTGATCGATATGGCAGGCTCTTTCGAGATACAATAAGTTGCATCCTCTGAAAAACCCACAACACCGTGTCTGGGAGCTACTGGACGAGCAGAGCGCACCTGGCTTCTAGAAGCCGTTTCGCCCCCACACCACGAGCGCGATGGACATGGAGAACATGGAGAGCAGCACCACCTGAGCAGAGCTGAGAGAACTAGTTTGGCCGGTGCGGCTGGCACTTCGATTCCTCTTCGCACATGTCAAAAACAAAAACATCTGCAAGAGGAACCCTCCAGGGCCCTAGCAAAGGTGATGTTCGGGTTCTCCAGAGGAGACAGGTCCGCCAAAGCCACGCTGCTGGCAATCTCTGGGACCTTTTTGGAAGGGGGGGGGGGGGGGGGGGGGGAGGCGACAAAGCTCACGCACTGAGGGCCCCCTCTTGCCCTGAGCCCAACCCAAAACAACCTTTTGCGCAAGCCACATCACCCACACCCAAACTTCAGCAAACATCACAGCAAACTTCAGCAAACTTCGACGAAAAAAAGCTTATCTCCCCGCACCTGGGAAGCTGCAGAGTGCGCAGCGTTGGCAACTTCCGGAGCCTCGCATTGAAGAGAGCGCAAGATGAAGGGAGTGACGAGGAGCTCTCCAAGCAGTGGTTTGTGGCTCCCCTATTGCTGCTTCTACTCCTACAATCCTTAGACATCCTCTCCTACTCCAGCTCTCCTTGTCCGAGTCCTACCGTCTCCTCCTCCTCCTCCTCCTCCTCCTCCTCCTCCTCCCCTCCTCCTCCTCCTCCTCCTCCTCCTCTCCTCCCTCCTCCTCCTCCTCCTCCTACCTCCTCCTCCTACCTCCTCCCTCCTCCTCCTCCTCCTCCTCCTCCTCCTCCCTCCTCCTCCTCCTCCTCCTCCTCCATCATCCTTGGTCACGGTCCTTGGCCCTAGTTCTCGTCCTCATCCTCCACTGCTAATGACGATATGACGACTACTGCACGGCTGCGCCTACGACTACCACGACAACTACGCGGCGGTTACGATGACTACGACTCCGAACTCACTCGTCTACTCCTACTCCTGCTCCGGGCCAAAAGTGTTACTGCAGGACCTGTGCCTTCTTCAAACCTCAACGAGCAGCTGCAGAATCCGAAACCTGCACCCTTTGCCATGGCCTGGAACATCGGGCCCACGAAGGCTGGAGCGCAGAGCAGCCATGCCTTGGGATAGGGCTTGCGGAGCATCGAGTTGCAACAATAATCATGCAGTCCCCGCAAGCCCCTATTCAAGCCTCGTCTAACATCCTCAGCCCAAGAAAGCCCAAGAACCGAAACCCCAACCTGGCCCCAAAGTCCTCTTCCGATCCTTCAAGGCCCTCGCGCAGAGCGCGAGGCCGATCACGGCCAGAGGAGAACGACGCCTCGGAGGAAAGCGCAGAAGCTGCACCCAACTTCCGCCAAACACTGCTAGGCGCGGATTCAGGAGGAGGAAGGTGTCCGCAAGAAACGCTGAGCTCTCCAAACTTCCACTGTGCTGTCAAGGAACTCAAGATGTACTGAAGTAGCGAAAGTGTAGTGTAAAGCCTGGCCTCTAAGACTCTGAACCGAAAAGAAATTTTAAGTCTCGCCTAGACAATGCGCCGTAAATGGCCTGAGACGTGGACGCCATTGCAGGGCTGCGGGATGTCCAATGCGTCGGCTATTTGGAGTCGGGCCGCGGCTGCAGGATAACGTGCACATCGTGTGCTTAAGGCTGGCAAGCTGCACATCGGACAAAGGTTCCGACCAAACTGGTCCTGAGGACCCGTAAGAGGCTTTGGGCTCTCTCTTTTTTGTCCTGGAAGCGTCCGCTTTGCGCCGCAAACGCATTATACAGACGAGTAGAATTGGCGCGCATCTCAGCGCGAGTGCTGCTTTGCACAGCAAAAACTCCTTCCCCAAGCCGCTCAGCGATAGTCTTAGACTTGTCCCCACTTTTTCTAGGGCTGTATAGGGTAGATAGAAGGCTTGCTTCCAGCTTGGGTGCAGGAGAATATCCCGACTTTCCGCTCAGAGCATCTGTTGACACATCTTGACTCCTGATACTCCTCATTGCCTGTCCATGGGAAACACAAGCGAGGAAACACGGGGCAAGATAGGGCAGGCAAGATGCCAGGGCCTGGCAGCTTTTAGAAGCCGTTGCGGCCCCACACCACGAGCGCGATGGACATGGAGAACATGGAGAGCAGCACCACCTCGTTCGGAAGCTGTTGGGAGCTCAGGGTTAAGGCCTCGGGACTCAATACCCCGGACTCTCTGCCCGGTCTGCTCCGGAGACTTTCCGTGGGCATCGGACAAAGGTGATGTTCGGGTTCTCCAAGGGGGAGAGGTCGGCCACGGCGACGCTGCTCGCGATGTCAGCGGCCTGCAGTGTCGCCGAAAGATCCCAGAAATTCCGGGATGAGCTGCATGATGTTGCGTCATGTTGCATTGCAGATTCTTGGCATATACGGCTCGATACGCTGCCTGGGATGCCGCGGAGTGGGCCGAGCTGGCGACCTCAGGAGCCTTTCAGAGGGTTTACATGTGAGAAGTCCAACCTTTTTTCGTCACATTGGTTTGGAGTCCAAAGATGTCTAGGGCCTGCGGGGCTCGAGGGCAGAGGGATACTTGAAACATTCGCGCTCCAGGTTCTTGCTTTTGCTGCGCCTGCTGGATCATGGGACCCAGGAAAGCTGGTGCGCAAAGTAGCCAGGCCTTAGCTCAGAAGCTGCCCATCCAACCCTCCGCGAACTGCACGGAAGGACTCCCGCCCTCAATGCAACCACCACTCTGCTCGCTTGTTTCTTTTCCGCAGCTTTGGCGGGCGGCTTTCACGCAAAGCGCAAGGAGGATGCATGCAGAAGAAGATACTCCCCATGTTCTCGGCGAAGCGGGCTCGCTAGTGCGCCGGCCCCACTCCCATGCACTGGAAGTGCAAGGAAATGGCAGGGATATTTCCACTGCGAACATGCGAAAATTTGAACCGGCCGAAACTACAATGTTGGCCAGATTGCTAGCACTTTGGGATACTTTGGGCCTGTGTGCCAGACACCCGCCACGGCAGGCCTCCGCAGCGCGAGAGAGGTTATCTGATTGTTCTGCCCGTGGGCCACATAAGCCTCGCTCTCAGCCGAGTATGGCCTCAAGATTCTCTGCAACAGACTCAGCGACAGACTCACAACCCTCACTGCTGTCCGGGTCTGGCCTAAGCCAAGCAAATCGCCGGGCCACTGGAAGGTTGAACCACAGCGAGGGCGTAGTTGCCAGCTCCAGCAACGTTAACGTGGGTTTCCTCAGCCATGCTGGCGACAGCGCTGAGAGTTGGGCTGCTTTGGCTTGCGGTTTTCGGTGTTCAAGACGGCTTCTGGGATACCGAAAAAGTCAACTCCCTAAGGCAAAGTGGACACAAAGGATAGGTGTCCACCTCGGCCATGGGTGCGTCTGACAAACCAACACAAAGCCCTGAAAACTTGTACTCGCTGCGTCCATCAGCGCCTGTGCACTACAGCATCTGTGCACTACGGGGCACCTGTGCACGTTACTGTACATCCTTTTGCTGAGGCACTGCTATTCCCAAAATTCCAACTGCGTATACAGTTTCTTGATGAGCCTTTCCCGGTCAAAAACCAGAGCCCTGCGGCCATGCATCTTGGCAAAGGGGAACAGCTCGGCAAAGGCGTCGCGGGGCAGCTCCTCGCCACGCCTGGGTATGCAAGTGGGGGTAGCAGGGGGGCACATCCTACCTGCAAGCTGCCTGCAAGCGCCCCACTCGTATCATTGGAGCCCGGGTGGCTGGATGGCCCAGTACTCAGCGAGGAAGTGGATCTGCCGGATGCCCGTGACCTGAGAGCCCATAAGGCCCATGCGGTAAGGCCTGGATGGCCCAAGAATACAAAGAGTTTCCTTCCGTGCTACATCGAGGGAGGAGAGGCCTGAACTTGGCAGGCCCAGCTTTGGGGTACTTGAGAGGAAGCACGCTGCAAACCGCCGGGCCGCGAAGTTCCAGCCCGGCACGAAGAGTCCCCAGGGGTCCAGAGGTGCCTCCAGGGCCATGATCGCATTCATCGCTGCACAGCTCTGGCTGCGGAGCTGCGGAGCTGCGGAGCTGCATTTGAGACGGTCGGGCCGCTGCAAAAGCAACTCTACGATTGTGTCTTGTCAATTTAGAGGAGCCAGAGCAAGTGGCTATATGGGGCCATCTGGGGGTTCGTCCGTATTCTTGACGAAACCATCACTTTCTATCTGTATTGGGGGGAGGGGGCGGGTGCGGTAGAATTTAGCTGCATTTAATGAGACATCAACCAGATAAGGTCTGGGGTCGCTTCCAACAGGACTTGTAAACGACAACTACCGCAAAGCTCCAAGGACTCTGCTAGGGTTGACTCGCCAAAAGGAACATTGGGGAACTCTGCGAAACCATCGTTGGGCTGTTGGTTAAAAACTGAAGACTCTTGTTCCCTCTGCCTCCCTGCCAATCTCCTCAAAGAGCTGGTTCACCTGGCTGGGCCCCGCGGACTCTGAAACTGGTGGCTCCCATTGAGGTTCTTGTGTTAAGACCTCAACCGACGATGCCGGAGTTCATCCCCGAAGACTGCATCCAAGATTCATGGGCCTTGCAGACGAGATTCCAAATAATGGGCGTCCCCTCACCCGCGACCATCAAATTAAATACAGCAATGCTTCGAGTTGAATGCACAAAACCCTTCCGCCTTCTGTTTTGGTCTTCAGGCGATGAATGGACTTGCAAGGTGCCAAAACAGTGCAGGATCCACATGACCCTTCCGAGGCCTTGTTGTAGAGGAACCACTGGTTCAGATAGATCCAGGCAAAGGCGCTGTAGAACCTTGGCTTCACGAGTGATCTATTGGTGTAGGATTCCGGTGGCAACTTACAAAGGCTGTCGAAACAGGCTCCCTGCCCCACGATACATGCAGGTCACTCACTCGCCACTGACCCCGAGCCCGGAGCCCTAAAGTCAGACCTATCCAGCTGAATGCTGCTGAATGCTGCTGAATGCTGCTGAATGCTGCTGAATGCTGCTCGCACAGACCCTCAAGCCGGGCTGCGCCGTGGAGAAGGCATTGTCAAACATTCCTCCCTCCAAGGAGCCGTAGGCAAACCTCAGCTGAGAGGAACCCTGGATCTGCTTCGTGCCGTGAAGGCATATCATTTGACACAGAAATGACACATAAGATGACACATAGTTCCGTCTCATGTTCTCCTTGAGTCCTGTATGAGTTTTCAGCCTTTCGGCTTTGCGGCCTTGAGAGAATGCAACAATTCTCCAGTCACAGAAAAAACCATGGCACTACTACACTGTGCTACGCTGGCGTTGAGATGATCCGTCTTCATGCAAACACATGTCGAAATACAGCGACAAGTCATGCACTACCTGCAAAGGCCGGACGGCTGAAGTGACCACTTCAGCCTTGCTGTTGCCCCCGAATTTTTCAGGCCAGGTGCTCACCAAAGACACCTCCAGCCAGAAAGAGCCGAGAAGAAGCGCCGATTCCCTTGCTTGTGCACAAAAGGGCTCCAAGCGACCGGAGCCTGCGAAGAGGCCCAGAGCAAAAGGGACGATCACCTCAGCAGCTCGGTGTGCTCCATATGCCTGCGCCTAACGGCTCTCCATCTTCTCCGGGGCACCAGCGAGCCACCGATGCCCAAGCCCCTATAGTAGCGCAGGTCGTCTTCCACTAGAAGCTTGTAGTACAGATACCTTCAGTGCTGCATATGCAACATCTTGCAGAAGTGGGTGTCACGAGCGTGCCTTTCTTTGGCCAGGATGCCAAACGACACCGGGCCAGAACGTGGCCAAGCACAACCAGCGGGCCCACATGGGGAAGCTAACCTCGACACTTTGCGTACGGGCCCAGAGTCACCAGCAAACAGCGTTTGCGGGCAGAAAGGCGGACGCAATCACCGAAGCAGCGATCCCATGGTTGTGGACCCAAGTACCGAAGCTACATCTTGATCTGCATGTGCCATGACGCAAACACTGCGAGCAACGTCAAGTGGCTGGAGCGGTCTCCGTGTTCAGGAAGACGGCAAAGGAGGGAAAAGCCCACCTGCAGCGACGTGCAAGGCAGAAGGTCATGACTCATGACCGACGAGAACAGAGGCAATACTAGCAATGCAACCAAAGACTACAGTGACTACCCAACCCGCAAAAGGGATGATGCGGTCATCATTGCAGACGCGTGGCATCAAATCACGAGGCCTGGGTACAAAGCAAGTAGCGAGCTCCTTCTGTTTCCGGCTGCTTCTCACGCTGCCCATGTTCTGACTTTGTTTTTGCCATTGATTGCACCAAGTCTTGCCTGCCCAGCTTCGGTCCCTGTCCTCAAGAGGAGGGACTCGTCTGGGTGGTGCGAATTTTGCCAGTGCTTCACCATATATGAGGCACATGGCATGGACTGAAAGCCCTTGGGGGGTCATCGATGGTCAACTCAAGTTAGTCAACTCTCTGGATAAGAAAATGTGACATCGATTCGATGTTAAGCTGTTTCCGATTTCCTTTGATCGGCCAGGAAAATTCATGATTGTCGCCCACAGGCAAACGAATCTCCTGCGTGCGACGCATGGAACGCCAGAGCATGACCTGTGACGTGTCATCTGCTCTGCCACCCGGTCTCCGGGCTTAGCCCGAGTTCGAGGGTGCTGGCCGGGCCAACAAAACGGGGCCTCTTAGACAATCCGAAACTTCTCAAGGCTCTATAAATGATAAACACCTCAAAGCGCGGCGGGCCCAGGGGCTAACCTCGGTGCATTTGACCCCAGAGTGTCCCCACACCGCTGGCACGGGCGAAGCTGCAGGCAAGCAGCTCACGCTGAGGCCCAGGGCCTGTTGGCCCAGGACACCACCAACCCCCAGCAGGTAGCCTAAGCACTTGAATGAGAATTCTTGGTCTGTCGCAGAGAGCAGCGCAAACTCAAGTCAGGGCACCTACAAGGGCGGCAGGCCCCACACTCCGCAGATACCAGCCGAAGGACACTTCCTGGCAAAGCAGGCATCAATCATCGAATGCCTGAGACAAATCTACCGAAGCTACGTATGGGCACAGTCTACAACGGCTTGTAGATCTGATGAAGACTTCAGGTTGGTTTTCATATGAACATCTCCTTTTCCATGCCCATGAACGCGACACCGGCGGCCGAGCCAATCACGAGCAAAGAGCCACCTCAGCAAAAAAGCAAGCACAGAACAAGACGCAGGAGCAGCACGCACATGCACGCATGTGACTGGCCAAAACTTCTCAACCCATCTTAACCCCCTCTTCAATGTTTGTTAAAGCTCTTGGGCCGCGCTGCCGGTGGCAGCGCAGTAGGTGATGAGGTTCCAGAGCTCATCGTTTGCAGGGTGAGCGGAGAGGTCGTACATGCCCTGGGCTGCTGCCACCAAGGGCACATTGTCCACGACGGCGGAGGCGAAGCCGAGGAAGATGGCTACAAGGCTGTCATCAGGCACCAGCTGACTGAGCTGCACAGCAAACTCCTTCAAAAGCCCCACGCGCTCCAGGGCCCCAACGGCAAACAGCACACCCAGGAAGAAGAGCGCGTCCGGCACCTCGATGCGCTTCAGCGCGGCTTTCAGGGAGTAGCGCTCGTCGTCTGGCTCGTGGAGGAGGGAGGTGATCAGACCGAGCAGCCCCAAAACCAGCATCATCCCAGTCCAAGCCGGACACATGGTGAAGGCCGAGAAGACCGGCACCCCAACCATCCCCAGCAGACCACCCCAAAAGATTAAACCCTGGCCAGCAGGCACCTCAACGCCAGCTTGCTCGTCTTTCGGCCGCTCGAAAGCCTTGCTACCGTCGATGACGAAGAGGAGCTCGTAGGCCATGGATCCCAGCAAGCACAAACTGCTCGGGACGAAAAGGTTCGTGAGCAGAGGCACGGTAGTGACTTGTCCACCTCTAGTCCACAATGAACTCTGGAAAAAATCTACGGGGAACTTGCTGGAACCACACGTCACCTCAATTCAGCCCCTGGGAAGGCGCCTAACAAAAGCGGCCTATGCTTTCTGGCGGGGGCGCCTATGTACAGCATCGTGGTGGTGATGTCCCCGATGGGAGTCCATGCCCCGCCAGCATTGGAGGCCACCACCACCAGGCCACCGAGCTTCATTCGGAACTCCTCGTCCTTGACGAGCCTTTGCAGCAAGGAGACCATGACGATGACCACAGTGAGGTTATTTAGCACCGAGGAAAGTAGAAAGGTGAGGACTCCGATCGTTATGAGCAGGTCCCTCTGGTTGGTGGCCTTGATCGCGGAGGTAATGATATCAAAACCCTTGTGCGCATCCATAATCTCTACAATCGTCAAAGCCCCGAGGAGGAAAAAGACGACTTCAGCGACGTTCTGCAAGGTTTCTGCAATCGCCGCGTCGAACTCGGAAGCTGTCATTTCTATGCCTCAGAGCACTTCTGCAGCACTTCTGCAGCACTTCTTCAGCACTTGCACCTCCCGAAAAGACCCGCGGTTGCTCACCAATCCTACCATGGTCAGGATCTCAGATCCCAAATACATCAGCCGGGATGCCTGTGCCAACCAGCGCCCAGACCAGAACCTTACGTCGTACGTGATTCGGCTCAGACTGCCGAGAACAATGCCCACGAATCAGGTTTGCGGATTGCGGCAGAGTGAGGACCGGTAGCACATCACAATACATGCACAATCTGACCACGGAAAGACACAGGATGCGGGGATGCTCGGCTTTTCGTCATTCCAAGCCACTCCCAGAATCAATGCCGTGGCGGCCTTGTTGATCTCGGTCTGTTCCTCCAAGCACTCCAACAGCTTAGAACTGAATTCGTCGGACACCAAGCGCTCAAATAGCACGTTCGTAGAGGCAGAAGTCTCACGCACTAGCACTAGCAACCATGAGGGCCCCAACGACGACAAACTCCTATACCATCCTATACCCATGCGAGCTTGCGTCCATTCGGTCAGACTGCTGGCGAAATGGGGGGGGCAAACAGAGCAGTGTGGCCATTGGGGTGCAGCTCGCAAACCGGAGCCTAAGCAGACGCGGCGTCTTGGCATGAGGAACGCTTAGCAAACTTGGCATGAGGAGCACTGAGCGAAATTGAGCCTGCATCTGTACTGCTCTTGCTGTGACTGTTGAGGCAGGTAAAAGTTTCGCGGGTTCTGCAACGCATCGGCTTCGTCTACACATATCCTGTCCTCTAGGACGATGACGGCATAGCCTCCCAATGCTTGACAGAGCACCAGCGATGCGGCAAGCACGGTATGAGAGGCACTCGAACACAGTGCACCACGCAGTGGAAGATAAGAAGAACCTCTGGCCTGCCACGAAGGTGGCCACGATGGGAAAGTACGGGTACTGCGCTTCCGCCAAGAAGGGCACAGCAACCTGCGGCACCGGACAGGTGCTCTTGCGCTCTTGCGCTTGCCTCCCGGCCTCCCTTATTTCAATACCCGAAGGAACCATTGGTTCCACCCTCACGAATGTGAGCCAAGCAACCCAACTGTGCTGGATGGCAAACATCAAGAGCCTGAGCTCTCATGGAATTCAGGCGTCCACTAGCTGCATCCCACATCACCGGTTTGCACAGCTGCTGCACCCTACCTGCTTCTCCAACCAGCTAGGAAACCATGAAAGAAGTAAACCCCGAACGCCTAGACCCAAGCGGCCCAAGCCCCCCCCTACAAACCAGGGACCCTACATCGCTAGGTGCTTGATGTTGCCCGGTGTTCGGCCCTCAGCAACCCTTCACACTGATGGAAATATCGAGCCCTACCCTCAGGCCAAAGACCCCCGTTTCTGGTTGCTACTTAGGGGCTTAAGGCAGTATCTCTCTTCCGGTACAGCCCCCCCCCTCCCCCCAACCTATTCAAGAGGCCATAGGGCAATGAGCACCTTTTCCACCCTATGCATTTTATGCACCTCATGCACCTTTCACCCCCCCCCCCCCCCTCCCAGCAAAGCTCCGCCTCCCTTCAACCGGGTCGCAGCCAGCCTGCCAGCCCAATCAGCGCAGATGGCACGCCGTTGGCTCGCGAACTCGAACCCTTCGCCGACACAGTGCCACCTGTGCTCGCTCAAAAGTTTAGGACGTTATTACATGCAAACCCTTGCATTTTCAGCAGAAACGAAGGGTCCAGTTCTCTCAAGTCCCGAACTTACAGGGTTCAGCTCGGACACCTCGCACTTGCACAACCGCCATGGTCACAAGCGGTACCAGGGCAAAGCTTGTTCCACTCAGCTTCGATGGGGGACGCCTGGGCACTAAAAAGTCAAGAGTCAAGGATGCAATGGGGCTTGGACTGGGTGCAGGCAATGCAGGCTCTTGATTGTGTCCGGACTTGGGTCAACACGGAGATGCCCCGCCCAGTGGAACTACAAGCCCCTGCTTTGGGTCCCCAAAAGCCATCGCCATCGAGCGACATCAAACCAAAGTGACAGGCAAGGCTCTGTGACGTAAGGAGGGCCTGCTGCCCCTGCGCGGACGTCCGAGAGCTAGGCATCCGCGACCTTTGTAGACTATGTTTGTAGACTTGTAGGCCAGTGCATGGCATACCAGGGTCAATACCCCAGTGTCCCCGAACCCTTCACATTGCCATCACAAAATCAAGTCTAGGCCCTTGGCCTCGGATGCCTAGGATGCCAAAAGGATGCCTGCGCAAACCCGTCCTGACACTTTTTGCAGTCTGGACGACTGCGGTGTCCCTGCACGGAAAGTCAGCGCTGCCCGAAGCAGTGTATAGATGAGGGCCAGGGGCACCAACGCCATGCCCACGACGCGGGCCATGCGCCGTGGCCGAAGCCTTTGCCCTCGCGCGAAATGTCAGGGGCAAAGGAGCTTGTTGCAACGCTCTGCAATCATGTATAGGTAGGGAAACGCTTTTCATGCTGATTCACCTATTGTTGACCTAGAAGGACGCGTCACGCGCACAGAGTCACACTGTCGGAGGGCGGGTGTTTGCACGTGCGTGGGTGCCAGTGGGGAAGCGGAGAGCTATTCCCCGACCCACTCTTGCGCCGTCCCATCTGAATCCTGCACTTAATCAGCTCCTAGAAGGTGGGCGCAACTTGAGAGGGAAAGGAAAGAGGGAGACGGCACGCGCGCGCACACACACACACACACAAACACAAAAAAACACACACACACACACACAAACACAAACGCAAGCGCAAACACAAACACAAACACAAACACAAACACAAAAACAAAAACACACACACACACACACACAGAGACAGAGACAGAGACAGAGACAGAGACAGAGACAGAGACACAGACACAGACACAGACACAGACACAGACACAGACACAGACACAGACACACACACACACACACACAGAGAGACAGAGTGATGCATGAATGCACTCGAAAGTTGCAAATGCACTCGTGACGGATGCACATGCCCTCAGAACTGATGCAACCATGCAGAATCACAAGCACATGAAGCGCATGCAAGTGCAGGCCGACGCATATGCCCTCGCGCTCTTCACTGCCTAACACCTGATTTTTGAATCCCTCGTGGAACACCACGACAAACGTCGCAGCCGGCCTGAAAACTGGCAAACCTGGTTTAGTCAAAACGAAAAGGGCCCGACTTTTGTTGTTATGGCATGCCAGCTACATCCGCAGATGTCCAGGCACTGCCATGGCAGGTACGTTTGCCTGGAGCGTGGGGGGGGAGCTTCGTTGGGCAGAGCCACCCCCACACCCCCTCTGCCCCCCTGCTCGGATTTGGCGGTGAAGCCTTTCCAGGATGCAAAAACCTGTTTCCACATACACACACACACACCCGCACCCGCTCGCGCACCGCGAGGTGTAGAGATGCAGCAAGTTCATGCCCACAGCAACCGAGCCGGACCGAGCCTGTGCATCTGGACATGGCTATGGAATCTCAATCGGTTCTACTGGCTCTTAATGGCTTGACAAATTGAGGGCGGTGTTGGGCCGCCCGCCCAAGCTGTGGCTTGAGCCAAAACGCGTGAGAGGGCGCCGTTTTAACACCCCATAGGCAAAACGCTGTGCTGCGAGATGCTGCGTGTCGTGTTGATACGCTGAAGGTTGTTTTGCAAAGTCATGCATCAACATGTGTCAGATGTGAGGTCATGTGAGATCGAGTGTGAACATCTTCTGAGACTGTAGCTCTGGAACATCCTTCTCCACCTTAACGTTCGGCTCGCTGAAGGGGAAGAGTGGCCATGGCACCGGTGGCACCGCTGGCGTCGCTGCTGTGGCCGCATCGGCAGCCACATCCTCAGACTCGAACTCTGCCAAAAGCAAAAGCAATTGCTGCAATCAAAAGCGTATTGCCATGGCTATTCGGTGTCAGAGCTCATGTAGCAACCCGCTCCTCGGCACGCCGGAATAGAGCCCCCAGGCCCAGCGGAATGGGTGACCCGGCTATCACCTGGCATACAGCCGGGCTCTGCTGCTGCATGCAAAAAGCCCAGATGTCAAAAAGAAGGCTACGTCCAGATGCGACGACAGCTTCGCATTTCGTGAGCACAGACATCCGAAGGCGACGACACACTACTTGGAGAACATGCCACTGCCAACAATTGGGCCCTGGCTGAGAAGGAGGCGAAGGAGGCCAGTCCCTCGGAATCCAAGGCCCCGCGGGCCACGCCAGAGCGGGACGGCAAGCTGCCTAGTTCGACGCGTTCATGAGCTTTCGAGTGTTTGCTCAAAATTGAACATGCTTCTCGGCCTTGCGGTGAAACAAAGCCGCTCCCAGCCAGCAAGATCCTTCAGGGGCTTCTATACACGGAACGTCACGGAACCGTGGTGCTGAGCTGAGGGTCCGGCAGCGAGAGGAGCACGGCGCCAAGTGGCCTCGGGGCATCGCGATGATCTTCGGAAGATCAAGACATCACTGGCTCATCCACATGTCCAAGGGTCCGCCGCAGCTTTCGCGTGCACCGCAAAGGCAGCGTGCGCACCATCGCCGAATTGAAGGCTCCGTGTCTGCCGATTGCTGCAGTTAACATGCTGAGAATATGATGTGCTTGCCTTCATGCGCCTCATCGTGCTTCTTGGCTAGACATACGTGCGCATATCTACAGCCAAAAAGGCTGCAGTCACACAGGCCCACTCACCGTCACAGGCTTCGTCGCACAAACTTTATCGATCTCTCGTCCAGCAGGAATCTCCCCTACTCCTCACCCGAAACCCCATCTCTGGGTGTCCCACAACCAGGGCGAGGCCAGCAACGGCCAGCGGGGAGCGGCGCCTACCGAACTACAATTGGTGTGGGGTTTAGGGCAGCTTTGACTCGCATGCTGGGATAGCTGGGGCTCCCACGCCATTGCCGGATCCAAGTGGCCTTGTGGTTTAGCGCTGTCGGGAGTCGGGACACAACTGAGAGCCGCGATGCGCCGCAGGACTTGTCCCGGCAGCAAGCTACTTGTGCCTGTTCCTGCCACCCATGAAAGGAGCTGAGCGAGGCTTCGACGACATATGGTTTGGATACAACAAAACGGCGTTCAAGGCAGCCCGAGCTTCATAAAAATTGCAAGCAGTTTTGTAGACTCTATTCCACCATTCAAGTAGACAGATTTCATACGGAAGTTGAAGATGTACAAGGGTTTCAGCGAGCCCAGATCAAACTATTCGTATCCAGGTACGCGGACAGTTGTGCTGACCCGAAGCACAAAAAGTGGAAATTAGCAGAGAACAAACCACTTGCCTTAGGGGCTGGAACGGTTGTTGAGGGAAATAGAGCAAATTCACTGGGTTTGAGAGACATTTTGGAATGACTGCATTGCGGAGATTCAGAGAAATAGTAGAGATTCCGAACTTGCGTGAGAATGTTCCACAATGAAAACCAGCAACTCCCTGCAGATACCAACAACTCTAGCGGGTTTCTTATCTATTGTGCAGGTTAATGTGAAACGTATGTAATGGGTTCCAAGAACTAACGTGACGAACAGCGTAAACGTGATTCGAGCATCTTAAACAAATTGCGTGGTTCCGACTGGGGTTCGACAAAGACAGGCCCCAACAAACAAACAAATAAACAAACAGGCACACAAACAAACAAAGGGAGGGCGCTGGAAGGAAAAGCAGCAGGGACTTCGCACCATCTTTCTGCATCACAGAGTTTCGATAGCTTCAAACACAAATTGAAGGACACCGGCTGGTGAGAGGCTTCACATCAAACAAAAGAAAAGGACTTGCAGGGCTTGCCCAACATCTCCTTCATGGCTACCCAACATCTCTTGTTAGGGCTCCTGGCAGCCAGGGCGGGAGAACATCCCCGAAGCAAAAGATGAGCCACCTAGGGACCCGACACAAAGGCACCAACAAAACAAAAACAAAAACTGAAAAGCAAATTGAAGAACGTCAGCGGCGATTCCAGCCGGGATTCGAGAAAACAGGCATCGGAATCCAAAAGAAATGGAGGGACTTGAGGAACAGTAGCAGGGACTTGGGCCACAATACGAGAAACGAGGCACCAACACGAGGAAAAGAGCAAACAAGGCTCAACAACATGTCCTCCATAAGAGTAGCCCAAATTCTAGGATCCAGACCCTACTTAGGACTCGAGGCGAAATCAGCATACTCCAATCGTTTGCGACATGCTGGTGCCACCTGCATCGAGTGCAAGTGCCACCTTCAGTCACTCCAACATAAGCACAGTGGGCGCCGCTTTCTCTTGCTCGGACGTCACCCCGCTCTGCAATGTGCAGTACTCTACTCAGGCCCTGCAGCCACCTGAAACGGAGGCAAACAGGCAAACAAGGATGCAGCGCTGCACAAAGCGGGGACTCGGAGGCCCAGCCTTCCGAGTGGTCACCTGCAAGGCAAAGCAATACCAGCAACAACGGTATAGGCATGTGTAGATGACCTCTAGATGGCACAAGCAGGTGTATTTGTACATGGCAAAAGCAGCGTGACCTTCACAACTCAGCTTTTGGACTTTCCGGGCTGGATTTGGGGCTCCTCGAGGCTGTACCCCTGCGCCGCCCTGCGCCTCCGGCCACACGATGGCATCAGGCGGCTGGAGCTTCATGAGTTCCTGGCAGGGCTGCTCAGGTTGAGAACATCCTAGAAGTTCTCAACTCTTTAAACCCAAAACCAACAAGGTCCTAGAAGCTCTCAGCTCTTTAAACCCCAAGACCACGAAGCTTCACAAAGCGGTAGACAAAGCGGTTTGAGCCGCCTCCGGTGGCTCCTCCGGCTCAGGTGGCAGCGGCGCATCCGGATCGAAGTCCTCGTCCTCCCAACTGTTGCTGCCACACCTTTAGAAGCCTCTTCCATTCTTCCATCCTTTTCCTACGACCCAAGGTTTGGTAAGATGCACATGCAGGGCAACTTCGCCCTCTCTGCTCCTCCGGATCTGGCGGGATGTAGTCCCAGTCGCCACTAAAGTCCGGCGGGGGCCCTGACAAACCCTTCACGCACAGGCCATGCAAAGCTTTCTGCTCTGGTGACCTATGATTCATGACGATGCAATGAGGCCGCGTTTGCCTGGAAACGGCCCGAGCCCTTCCTCATACATTGTCACCTGTTCAGCATGCATGGGATGCTTGACGGATGCTCTAAGTCTGTCGAAGTCTACTAGTTTCGAGCTGACTCTTACGCAAAGGTCAGCGAAGTTTTGGCTGGGTGAAATTCAAGCGCCGAGACTCCGGCATTCGTCTCATACTGCTCCCGCAAGGTGATGACGGGAAACCCATCCTCTGGTGTACTGATGTGGATTGATGTGGACTGTGCTCTCAGAGTCGGATCATGCCTGGTCTCTGGGAACGCCTGCTGGGAACTTCTCGGCCTACAAGTACCCAAGTGCTCTTGCAACAATGCTTCAAGATACTCAGGATTCCTCAGGATGCGCCTCCGGATTGGGGATGATGGGCCGCCCACCAATCCGCCCGTATGGAGCTGGAGCACCTGGGCACTGCAGCATAAGGGGGAGAATCGGTGAAGGGTGCCTGCCCCGTAGCAACGCAGGCAAGACACATGCGATTCTTTTCTGGTCTGGCGCGGGCTGTACACGCCTGTTGCCTGAAAGCTTAAGAAGTCTTTGAGTTGTTCTTCGTGTCTGCACCTTGGCGACGGGGAACCTGAACAATGCGCATGCGCGAACCTGCATACCACTGTAGCAACATGGTGCGGGGCCACCTCGCACTGGACGGAGAATGCGAATGCGAGGGTGGACGGCGGTGTGTCGAGTTGAGGGTTTCATGAAGTCACTGCCATCCGTGCAAGGCAACCTTACGCTCTTCAAAAAGGAAACGGCCCGGAGCAGGAATTCCAGGGCAGGGAACTTCAGGATAAACTACCTAGGAACGCTACTTGAAATCAGCCAGATACGGAGAGGACAGAACTTCATCAGCTTCATCAACACCTCCCGAAGCACTCTTGGAACTCTAAGAACTGCCAACTTGACGATGCTCCGTCCAACAGCACAGCCACTGCTGCTTCGGGCAAAGCCCCAAAAAAGGAGCTACCTGTTTCAAACAGCAAAACACTTGTCAGCTGCTGTCTGAACAGGGCTCACATGGCGATTCGCACGGGCTTCGGTCCACCCGGGACATACGTCGACTTCAAGTACTCCATCTCCTGAGAACGTTTAGCTTCATAGCAGATCTCCGTGAAGCCATGTCAAGCCGCGCATCTAGGGCTACTTGCGGCTCCTGTCGCCGGACCTTCTCCGCAATTTCCCTCCTGCCTGAGCACGTGCGCAGCGCAAACCCCGCCAGCTAGTACTAGTAACCTAGTACTTCATCCGGCAGCCAGGGTGCTTGGTGCTGCCTCCAGCTTCACCTTCGTCATCTGCTTTTCCTGACACGCACAAGCACAAACAAGAACCCCGGGGTCAATCTCGGAACATGCTTCAGCCATCTTCAGCCATCTTCCAGCCATCTTTCAGCCGCTGCCACCTCGAGCACATCGCGAGGCACTGGCGGATGAGTGACAAAGTCCACCTGAGCCGACCTGCGGGCCCCCAACCCAGGGTTGGTCACAAGGACGCAAACTGGTAAAAGGGATTCAACCAAACAAAAAAAGTACAGAAAGGAGAGAGAAAGGGAAGACCAGGAGAATGAGAAGGAGATCCTGCCTGGACGAGGCGGAGCCCCATGGAGCGATGGAAGGGGTGGCCGGGCTGGCGGTCGCTGCCTGCGAGAGAGGACTCGGAGGATTCGGGCCGCTACTTGTACGACTGCCAAAAAGCCCAAAAGCTGTGGCCTGCGCTCCAAGAAGGACGCAGGCGACCAGGCCCAGCATGGGGGACACCCAGTTCGAGGACTGCGCGGAGTTGGAAGACTCCGGCGAAAGCGAGGCAGGCGCCTGCTTCGTCTGGAACTGATCTTAGGTTTCGTTCAGATGTTTCGGGTGTAAATATTAAGGAAAGTATGAAATGTAATGTTGAGGGTACTTTGGTTGTCGCTCGAAATTTCAATTGTGAAGAGAAAGCACAGGGTGAACTTGATTGATATCAGCTTACGTAGTTCATGCATTGGTTTCCCGGCGTCTTTGAGAGGTAACGGATATCCACATGAAGCCAAGTGAATGCGCACAGAAAGAGGTGTGAGGGCAACAAAAGCAGAGTGAGTTCCCCTCTCCCCGGCCTGAATTGTGCCACGGTGAGGTGCCGCAATTTGTTGGGGCGCCGGGACGAAGCAAAGGATGGAGGCCGCCTGAAAGGTGAAAGGCCGGTGCTGCTCAGATTAGCTTCTTTGGAGCGCTGTCGAAACGAGGTCGAAACGAAATGCGGGGCTACCAAAGCTTGACGCATCCGCCACCCGAACACTTCGAAACAACGCGAAGTGCAACGTGGAATTGGCTGCGTCTGCAGGTGCAGGATAATGCAAGTCCAGCCGCGGTCAGGGCCAGCACAGCCACGCTCATTGCACGGGCCATGGGTGCGATCCAGCTGAGCAGATGGGATGCCGATGCAAGGGAGCCCAAAATGCTAAGGACGCGACATGTGTGACCACGTAATCATACTATACATAGCCTACACATCCCCACACCAAGTAGCCTCACCGTGAAGCTGAAGGCAGGAGGCCAGGAGGCCCTGGGGCCCGAGCGCTTTCGCATGCCCGGTGCAGCAAAAGCCTGGCGGGACGCTCTGTGAAGAGCATGGCAGAACGCATTGAAAGCTTCGACGTTGCCCCTCCATGGCCTCCACATCGAGCATCCTGCATAACCCCGCGACCTCGCTATGAGGCGTCAAGAAGAACAAAAGGGCAGAGAAGACGGGAGTGCGACAAAATGGAGCGCTGGCATCTGGGAATCTTCTGTCTCTTCTGTCTGCGGATTCAATTCTTTTTCCTGGGCGCCGACTGTGGGCCTACAGCCTAGGGAAGGTCCATGGCCTGCTCCCTGAGCCGCTGGGTAATGTGATGGTGCTCCCAGAGTCCAAACTTCCCCATGTCATCAAGGAGTTCACGCGCACTGGCCCCGTCGCCTGCAAGCACGTGAGACCTCAATAGCTCCTGGTACGTTAATCCTGACGGCTTGACGCCGGAGCTCACCATCTCTTCAAAGATCCGCTTGCACTGGCTTGGATCACGCCGGTGGCAAGTAAGCAGCCCTGTCCAAGTGTCACATTCAGGCTGAACATTGTAATGTGGAAGCATCTCAAAAACCGCCCTTGCAGTTTCAGCAAGTCCATGCCTTGCGCAAGATATAATCAAGGCGTTGAAATGGTTCCTGTTCGGTTTCAACCCCCTAGCGGTCATGGCCATGAAAAGCTCCCGCGTGGCAGCATAGTCGCCTTCACGAGCATAGGCCCACATTGTCGCCGCGTAGCTCGACTCCCTGCTTGAATCCGTCGCCTCCTCGAAGACAGCTTCGGGAATGTTGTCGAAGGTACTCATGGCCTTCTGGGCCATAGAGACGGTCCCATATGCTCCGATCATGGTGTTATAGGTGATGAGATTGGGTGAGACGGTATTTCGGTGCATCTCCTCAAAAAGGTGCTCTGCCTCATGAACTCTCTTGGTGTCGGCATACATCTTGATCATAGTGGTATAAGCAACCACGCTCTTCCAGTCGTGGTTCATGTCCGCCCAGAGTGCCTTGGCTTCCTCTACCCAGCCGGCTTTAGCGCAAATGTTGAGACCGACGCAGTACTCGATCGGACCTTGCTTCTCCATGGTTTCAAACATCTCCCACGCATCTTCGAATTTTCTGGCCTTGACCAGGCGGCCGATCTCCTTTGTCAGCGACCTGACTTCCTTCGCGACGGCTCCCTGCTCTTCGGCCGGTCGCAACTTTCGCAGGTCTTCTCGGCCCCAAACACGACTGACTTGCAAACTAAGCCGCTCCTGCCGCTTCAGCTGCGCATTTGCGAAGCTGAAAGCGCGCTGAGCGCGCTGTGTCGCACGTGACAACACATGACAGGAGCAAAGCATGTCAATGTCAAACAAACTGTCGCTATGTGCAGTCATTCCGTCTAGAGGTCTGCATTCGAGCAGGATACCTTGCGAAGTTCGCTGGGCGGTGCTAAAAACAACGATGGTCAGGCCCATTGACCCATGTAGCGTGTAGCTTTATCACACGAATGAACACTTCGAACCAGCGGCTGAAGCCATGGACCGGATTCCCAAAACGAAAGAAACTGAACCCTAACGAAACCTTCGTCTCATCGTTGCAATCTCCATTGACCCGAGAAATATCGCGGAGGTCTCTGAGCTGCCCAGCCACTGCGGCAGCACAGGCCACTATCAGAGGCAGCGCCAGGGGCGAGCGCCTGCAAGCAGCCACACGGTAGCCCTAGGAAGCCTTGTCTTTGCAGCCTGATGCGAGAGAACGACCCTAGCTCAGCACCCATGCGCAACACCAACACAAGTGGGAGACTATCCGACCCTTCTGCGCAGTGCAACTACTACTGACACCGCCAACCCGGCCACCACCCTCAACAACACCATCAACACTACCGCCGCCACTGTCATCGACGTCGTTGTCATCATCGTCGTCGTCATCATCGCCATCGGCAATATCACCAACACCATTCTCATCATCGTCGTCGCCATCATCACCATCACCATCACCATCACCATCAGCAGCATCATCATCATCACCATCGCCATCATCATCATCATCATCATCACCATCATCATCATCACCATCATTATCATGGTCTTTTTTACTCGTCCTCGTCATCATCATCATCATCATCATCATCATCATCATCATCATGCGTAGTACTGTCTTTCTACTGACGCCGCCACTACCACTGCAACTCCTACGTCACGGCGAAGTAGCATGTCCATGAAGCCTCGAATAAACAAAGTTGAGACGTTGCCTGATGTTTCGTTTCTATGGTCCTTTCAAATAATCTTACAGGCCCCATCTGCCCCCCCATGTCGTGAATCCGCTCGCAAACCTAGACGCCCGAACTTCACATGCTCTCAACCATACCCCGCTTCCCACACGTCCGACCTTTCAGAAAGCGCCCGGCGTTCCGCCATGCTTGGCGCACGTCTCTACACAGATGCCCCTTAGCTCCAAGTGCCCTTCTTAGGCCCAACATGGATAGTCCTCTCAGGGACATTGGGGACACTTCTTGCCGGCTTGCTGCCGCAGGCGTTTTGCATAAGATGGAGCAACATGCAGAGCTTGCGACATTGAATCCTGTGCTGATGTGTCTCCCGAAGTAGTAATTGCTCTCCCCCATCCAACTACATGCAAGTTCTACAATGCTGCAGGGACAGCTGAAAAGACAACAGTGGCGACAGCCTTGAGGACTTTTGGTGGAAACCAGACACGAAACAAGTGCAGGCCCATTTTTTCGTGTTCTCCGCAGTCGCCGTGGGGCAAGGCAGATGTCAAAGTGATCTCTGCCCTGCGCTGTGCTGAACAGGCGGCGAACTGGTGTCCGAACTCGGCAGGCCACAGCAAAGACTTGTGCAATGTGTGCGATTGTCTTCTCTGTCTTCTCCGCACCACATCTGAGGCCAGGTCATCCATGCAACCATCAAGCAGGAGGGCTCAAAACAGAACCTTGTAACAAGAATGCTTCAGCTGCACGCTAAACTCTAGAGGGACATGCCTCAACTCTGGACCCAGAGAAAGCTTAACAAGGCCCGAAGTCTCCGAAAAGCCTGGGATCGCGGCGAATCCTGAACAAGACGCCCCCGGCTTGATGGTAGGAGCCGCGCCTTAGAGCACAATTCACAGGGTTCCACCTATGCTCCCAGAGCTACAGGCACACAACAGCTAAGGAACACACGCTCAGCGGCGAAGGAAAGGCCAAAAGCCTGGGAGGGCTGCGCAGGGCTACAGAGTGCCTCCCGGGCCTTTCGAAGGCAAGGTTACGAGCCTACGTCGGGCAAAGAGTTGGTAGCAATTAAGACGCCAACCCCCTGTCTACAACACGATCACACCAAGGGCGCTGCATCTCTCGAGTCGGAGACGCCGGAGGGCCAGAGTCCCGAAGCGGGCAGAAGCGGGCGGCGAAAGCAAGCGCCAGGGGTCATTCCCACGTAGGAAGATTTTTCTTTGAGGAGGGCCTTTTGGGCTTTTTGGCTTGGGAGCGCAGCTCAGGCTGAGCTGGTGGGAAGGACCCCAAACATTTTCAAATCGTACAAGTTGGAAGACCCAATGCCTTCCAAGTGCTGAACATCATTTTGCCTAACTCTGCAAATGGGAAGAGAAGGGTCTATATCCAGCACCGGATTGAAAAACACAGCCCGTGTACATTGCTCTGTGAAGCTACGACTATAAGAAGAACACATCTGGGCCGAATTTCTGAGCTACACACCAACAGCCATGCCTAGGCAGTTAGGATAAGAAAGGTTCGCGCCCCACAAGGACCACACCAGGGGTGTAGTCGTAAAGTGCAGGCGACCCTTACCCTCCCTGATGAATGGACTGCGATCCTTGGGCAGCCATCCACAACTTTCTCTGCGAATTCAGTTTCCACGATCACCACAGAAAAGGCACTCCACCGTAACTTCTGTACTTCTATCAGAACTAAAAACTCAAGTGAAGATTTCCACTGAACCGCACTAGGAACAGGTTTCGGTAAAGGGCTAGGCAACTCGTCTTCATCTAGAAGAGGAGGCTACCTGCGTCCAGCGCGCACCCTCGCTCAGGATTCTTGCCCCCTCGCATTGGGGGAACGCGCAATCTAGCTCTGCCGCCAAGGCGAGTTGCTCCAGCCCTTTAGGGGATTAATTTCAGCAAGGCAACGTCGATTGCCCGCCTGGGAGTTGGCGGAGAGTCTACCCACCAGTCGTGTTCCCAGAGGGTAGGGAAAATGCCCAATCGCTCATCCACTTCAATGAAGCAGGAGAGCATGTCACGTCTTCAAAAGCATACAAAGCATAGCAAACAAACACACACCTTCACGATGCTCACACTTCATAACACTCTCATATCACTAGTCAACGCTCTCGACGGCCACCATCCACTACAGGTCTGGGCTCATGGGCAAACAAGCGCCCGTGACACCTTCCGCCTCGTCCCATGGCCATGCAACACGTCACTTAGCGAAAGTGCCAAAGCCTTTGGATCCTTCAGCAAGTCAGGCCTGTGCTTTGTTGTTCTAGAGCGCTAGAGTTATTCGCTTCTTTTCAGTCTTCTTATGGGCCCAACCAGCCACCAGGATCTGTCGCAGTCAGCGCAGGAGGGGTCTCCTGCGGAACCACACATTGTGCTGCTCACGTCATCCTGAATCCTGAGCTGCAGCCTATCTCTCCGGGTTTGTCCAGATCCCCATATGTCCCCATTACCTCATTTCCCTCTCCTGCGCTGAAGTGAGCATCGCGGTCACTGCCAGGTGTATACCTGCAAGTCAAGGCTGAACCAGCGTCTGGACGTGCCTGTCCCTGGTTGAAAAAGGAAGTTTCCGCACATTCATTCTGCCTGCTCCTTTCCACACCTCTGCGCACATGCAACAGAATAAGGGGCCTTCTCCTCAACCTCGCTTTTGTTGTTGTGGGCCTCACCTGCAAGCAGGCCCGTATGACCCATGCTGGCACGGCGAAGCTTCACTAACCAGTCTACACCACGTGCCGCCAAGTTGCAAGTCATGTTCACCTGAGTGAACGAGAGGCCCTCAACGCGATTATGCTGAAACAATGTCTTGGTCAGGCACACTGCAGCAGCAAATAGACCCGTGACCCGCCGTGACCCCACGTTGCTCTTGACATTCTGGCCTTCGCCATGATGCTGCTGCTCATCTTACTACGTCGAGTTTGTGCAGGTGCACGCCTGAGCAGCTGCGAGGTGATGGAGCCGAAGGATGTACCAGGACTGCTGAAGATTGCTTAGGAGAAGAGCTTCTCTTCTTCAGGGTGGCTGAGTTCGCGAAACCGATACACACTAAGCCGAGGTGTTCTGTTTTGAGCACTCTCCAACACGATTCAACATATCCAAACATGAACAGCGAACAAACCGGCCAAGTGTCTCCGCGCTTGCCGAAGTAGTGGGAAGCCTTGCAGGGAATGGAGCCAACAACAACAACAACAACAACAACAACAACAACAACAACAACAACAACAACAACAACAACAACAACAACAACAACAACAACAACAAAGACAAAGAAGCAAAAACACAGAAGCTATGCAGGGTACCCAATCCGAGGCCAGGACGGTGCCGTCTGCGCCACGGGCAGCTGCCTAAAAAAATCTCCATCTTGTGAGGTCTCCAACACTCCAGCCACCCCCCCCTTTCAAGGCAGTAGCTGCGACTGTGGCGGAGCCGGCGGCGTGGGGTAGATCCTTTGTACACGGGAGTGTATCTGAAAGCACAAGCTAGTGCAAAGTAGTGAAGCGCCCTTTTGATTCAATAGCCGTGCACGAGGCTGCAGCGTTTGCCCCATCTTCACCGGCGAGGCATCATAGGGCCTTGCATTGGAGGGAGTCACGGAGCACTATTCCCAAGTAACGAAAAAAAGTTGCTGTACCAGGGGCCCTACTGCTGCGCCACATGTGGCATCAGCCGCGGGAAATGCCTTGCAAGGATCAAGCAGGCCGTGAAACCTTCCGGAGTGCCCGGCTATGTGGAGCATTGCGAAGAGTAGTGCACCGTGTTCCGGACTGCGCAGACGGCTGCGCTGTGGGCCTCGGCCGAACCGAACTTGAGGAGCTTCCGACCCTCGAATCCCCTGTCTTCAGAGGCTACAACCCACTCTCCGACAATTCTGTTGGCTGGTCATGGTTCCGGATCATCCTCAGATGTCGGCACAGCACCTTTACATATTGATGCTGCCCAGTGTATCCAGCAGCATCTGGATGCGTACTCACAAAGTGCGAACAAGATGCTGAAGCAGGTGCTGACCAGCCATCCTTGTATGCAGCGGCGGCAGCATTGTAGTTAGGGGAAAGCTTGGGCTGGACTCAAGCATTCCTTGCATCTTTGATCCGTTGCTGGCAAGGCACTGCCCTGATGTTTGCTGCTTCCTTTGCTGTAGCATCTGCAGAAGTGGGTTCCTTTCAAGACACGGGGGGAAAATCACATCAGTGGCGAAAGAGATTCAGATGACCTGAAGTCTTTGCATGGGCAAACTAACGTTGGAAGCGTCAAGCAAATTAGAATGACAACTTGGAATGAGACGTGCAGCTCTCAACATCGGCCCCCGTCATGAAAAGAGCGCTAGCAGTGTGACACGTGCAGCTCGCAGTTCGGTCGACGTCATGACAGGAGCGATGGCAGTGCAAAGGTTCAAGTGATGGCCTGTCACCCTCCGCAGCGCCATATTCGTCGGGGGAGCCCTGCAGCAAAGCTTTGTTGACACTGGTGCAATTGGGAATTCAAACTTGTGAAACCCTCACCCTCGCATCTGGGCTGCCTAGCAAAGAATATACACTATACAGAGAGGGTGAACTTCCCCGAAGCCCTTGGCACTACGTCTGGAGCGCCTCTGTGCCACTCCTCCGGCGAAGCTTCTCCTCTCCCACACCCCCAGAAAGCCAGAAGTGAACTGCACGAAGAGAAAAAGCGAGAGAGAGAGAGAGAGACAGAGAGGACTACTACATACTACTACCACCTGCACGTTACATGCGGCTTACAGTGTTTTCATTGTAGGCCTGCAAGGAACTCACAACGCCGCAACCTTGCCTTTCCACGCCGAAAGTGGGCATTTCGAGGCGATGCCTAGGCAGAGCGGCAGAACCTTTTTTGCCCCAGACGCGCTCTCATCCGGACAGTTCTGAGCAATGGAAGCTCTCAAAGTTAGCCCATATCGCTTTTTGCAACCTGATATCCTGAGACCGAGCCTCGCCCTCTTCGTAAGCGTGTGGTGCTCCATGTTCCTGCACATGTCTCCTATTGCTACTTCCCCTGCCCTACTTCCACTGCTACATACTGCCACATATATACATACTGCTACATACTGCGACTTCAATTCCACTACAACGGCGGCGGCAGCTGAGACAAAACCCACACAGCCTCGTCAGTGCTGGATGCACAGCTTGCGGCAGTGCTCGCCTCACAGAGTAACCCACAAGAAGCACGTGTGGGTCGGGAGAGCAGAGGTGGCTCAATCGCAGAAACATGCCAAGAAAAACCCTGGACCTCCCCAAAATACGGACGCTATGCTTGTATTTCCGGGTGTTCATGTCCTTGTTGGATGGCAGGGTCCGAATCGGGCCAAGTGCCAGCGGAAATTTGCTTGCGACACGGCTGCACCGACATGTCTCGGCGGCGATAGCTCCCATCACTGTCCGACGCCCCGAGCACAGAACCCCTACAGGTAAACGGAACTGTCCGGCCACTCCCTGAAATTCCCTCAACCTTGCAAGCTCGACCTTCTACTGAACTTCAACCCCCCTTGCTCCCGCGATTGCACCTCCGACAGGCTGTGCTGACGGTTGTTGAGCAAGGCCTCGGCTTCTCGTCGGTGGGCCGCCTGGCGCCGCTTCGCAAGCTCTCGCAGCTTCGGGCCTGAGAAGTCCTTTGGGTTTCTTCTCTTTCTGCGGACCTCCGTTTTGGTGATCTGCTAGACTGCTAGACTCCAGGAAAAATTTGAAGCTGCCCCGCATGCCCCGCACCTGCACCATGACGGCAGGAGGCAGAGCCTCTGCCTCTTCTGGGCAGCTTTGCAGGAGATGCTCAAAGACCTCGGTTGCATTTCAGAATGCCATAGTCCAACAGTGGACGGAAGCCCATGTTCCACAATGTTCCACTATGTTCCACCCAAACCCACAAACCCCCAAAAGCTCACCTTGATTGGCGTGCGCCCAGGGCTGGATGCCAGGTCAGCTCCGGCATATTCCTCCACGTTATGGCAGTTACGGGATCTCGCTCAAAAAAGCAGAGCACCCCACAAAAAGGGCTTGCAAAGAACCCGAGCAGTCCTCATTTCGGACCTTCTGTAGTGGGGTGCCAAGGCCTCCAGACCGGATACTGCGGGCGCAAGGCGATTCTCAGGCTAACTCCAAGTATGGTCAACCACTGCAGGTGCTGGGCTCCCTCGAACTACGTCTCTGCAAAGCACCTCAATGTGTGCTGGTGGCATCTGAGACCAGCACTCACCGGCTCTCCCTGTTGCATGCGAAAGTATGTCTCCTGCTGTCAGGCTTTCGCGGAGCCGGCACGGCTCAACACGGCTCACAGATGTTCATTGTACAGTCGAAGATGTCCTCCAAAGCTCTTCGTAGTTCCCCTTCCTGTCGCCGGTGCAGCAACAGAAGCAGCTGCAACGGACAGGGTTGGGCACGGATCCCGTGCACATCCAAACGAACAAGTCATTGCTGCTGCTGCTGCTGCTGCTGCTGCTGCTGCTGCTGCTGCTGCTGCTGCTGCTGCTGCTGCTGCTGCTGCTGCTGCTGCAGCAACTGACAAGACCCCAAACCGAAACCTCCCCGACACAACACGCGGCCTGAATGTCACCAAGTACGCAATTGAGATTGCGCGTCTCGTCCACTGGGTCCTGCGCAAAGAGACACCTTCTCGGACCAGTATCACATCTACGTGCTCAAGAGAAGGGATGCTCCTCTACATGCAGTCGTCGAAAATTCCTGGTCGATGCTGACGCAGTCCAAACTTTGCTGCACTTCCACCAGCACGGAAATTGTCCAGGCCTTCCCTTCAGCTTCAGCAGATGAGTCTCAGATGCGTCCAGGCGGTTTGGAAGGCGGACGGAGACGACCTCGGGCAAATTTCGGTAAGAGGTCGCACAAGAAGGTACAAGTATCGACAAAAAAAGCAGTGCAAGATCGTGCACATCACGCTCAAACTATGCAGCAATTGAGACAACCATTGAAAGACACCACAATCGGAAATCTCAAAGCAATGATACTCTAGGCAGTGGAATTTCGTAGGGTGACTTACGATGACCTTCTGGCACGAACCATTCCATCGCACGAGCTTGCTACCGCGCTTCATATCCGCGGCTCACAAGTCAACATGTGCCCTGCTGCATTGTTTTGGTCTCCCCAGCAGGTGCTTGCACGATGAAACTCACATGCCAAAGACGAGCCCCCACCTAGACCCCTAGACTCAAAACATCTCAAAACCCAAACAGAACAGAATTCTCAAGTCTCAACTGTTCACACAGGCGGGGCCTCGGAGCCCCAGCTGAACTCCTGAAAGGACATGGAAGGTGCGAGATGCGTTTTGGGCTTGAGCTTCGCTTAGGGATTTCGGAGAGGGCGTCGGGCATTCTCGGGAAATCCTTCCAGTTCAGACTCATGGTCCCAAGCACCCAAAGAACGCTTTCGGTATGGCTGTGGCCTTAGAGTCCTTGCTCGACCTATCTCACAAGATCAATGTTTCTTGCAAAACGCATGCCCACCCTTCCACCGTTCCCTTCATTCCCCTTCGCTCCGAGGTGTAGAAGTGAAAGAACCGGCGGACGAATTGTCCCAGGTTCTGGGGACCTCAGCTGTTGCGACACCCGAGACCCTTTCACAGCAGGATGGGCCACAAAAGAACGACTACGATCACTGCCATAGCCTGAAGGCTTGCAAGAATCCGGAATCGACATCTGCCAATCTACATCGTGCCCATGAAGGTCAACGCAGACGGCTACAGCAATTGGTGACGACTTGCTGGGACATGGCCACCTCCTTACCTGCTCTTGGACTCCCTGCAGGGCGTTGACGAAAAAATCGGCTTCCGGGATCGGCCCCCAAAGTTCAACACACCCGTTACTGTAGCCTTTTAAAGCGGCCCTTCTTTTGCGAAATACCGGTACTGGCGCCCCCGGCATTTCCAAGAGCTGCGGGCGGCCTCTCAGGGGGGCACCACATCTGGGCTTTGGCTGGTGGGATTTCATGTGTGCTTGAAGAGACCTGCACTCCGAGAAAGTTCCCCAGGCTGAGCCAAAACAGCCCCCGAAGCCAAAGAACGTGAACCCGGCAACACCCCGGCCTCTAACTTGGAGGCGACGTCGACCTTGCTCCCTTCCTGGCCCATCGGTCGAATCGCGATGCATCCCCACCCTTCTGGGCCAGGCATGGATTGGGCGAGCAACTGCGTGCCTTGAAAGCTTGCGGGGGCAGCATGGGCAGTTGGATCTTGGGGTGCACCTGGCAGCAGAACTCATTTCACTGAATTGGGAAAAGTGGGAGCTCGGGGTATGGAAGCGCTCCGTTTACAGCCACCTGTAATGAAGTAACAGGCTGAATTCGCCTCGGCTTCCGGCAGGCGTCTAGAACAAGCAGACCAGGATCCGGTCTCCTTCCTCCTTTCCTAGGACCCTTCCCCAAGCGGCTGTGGGGATACCTTTCCTGGGACCCTCCTAGGGCCTTTCGCGGGGGCCCACGGACGCCCATCGTTTGTGGTAAGCTGCACCAAATCACACATCGCTACGCCCCGCGTTGGGGCCAGCCCAGCTGCACGCGCGCAAGCGTTCACGGTTAACAACATGTCCGTCAACCCCACAGAATCCAAGGTTTAGATGAGCAATGCCGTGATTTGAGCTGCAACTTTTGGATTGAAGCCACCTGCATGAAGTAGATGGCCATCAGCGTCAGGGCATACGACGACAGGTGTGAGCGAGATGCACCACAAACTTCCTTCTCCTCAGCATTCTCTTGCAGTCGCTGGCCAAACCCCTCCTCGAGTCACAACCTCTGGCGTGCCTTCGCCCACAACTTTACCAGGATCACCAGATCCCGCACCCTGTCATCCAGCATGGAATAGGCCTGACTGCTCGCACATCTGCAATAAACTGCCCACCAAGTCAAAGCTTGAGGGCTGCATCCTGCCTTCAGCAACATGGTATTTTGCAAGGGTAACGTATTGTGGCACGAGAGGTCCACCTTCAAAACTCCAACAGGTCACAGACGGCAGCTGGGCACAAGCCGACTGCAAAAGACTACTAGAACGCAAACAACGCAAACAACGCAAAACCGCAGAGGGCCTCCAACTTGCCCTCAAAGCACAGCTTCAAGATGGGCACGCGAGCATGTAAAACCTTTCAAGGGACAAGAAGACTCCTTTCTCAAGCGTGGCGTCGGGGGGTGTCTTTGTTCGTGTGCCTCCTGCGCCATGGTAAACTCCGGGTGCTCCCGCAACAAGGGTGCGAGGCGCTCACCTCAGGTGCAGATCGGAGCAGATCGAAAGCAGTGGAGCAGAGGTGAGTTCTAGCGACCAAAAATGTTTCTCACCAGACAAGCTGCACGACTCTACAACCCGTGCGCTCCATAAGGCTGCTGCTCAGAACTTCAGCTGCTGGCTGCTGTGGCTCCGCTTCCTGCACATGAGCGCGTCGATGTCGCGCTTCCACGGAAGAGCACAGAAGCCCACAGTCCCTTGACAGTCCCTTAACGGTCCTTCCCCTCCTCGGTGTGCACATAGCACGTTGCATCCAGGTCCGAGAACTGCGACATCGCGGATGAAATGCACACGATCAAACAGCACCTTTAACCACTCCAACCATGTCCGAAAAAGAAACACCAAAAAAAACTCCACGGTCAATCCCAGTGATTGGACAGCTTCTACTATTCTCGAATGGTTCCTGCAAGCTTCTTATGCCCGCCTTTGTGCCAAAGCCATTGGCGGCACTGCCAAAAGGGCTAACCTGAGGTGGGGGAGGATTTGGCAAGCATTGCAAAAAATTGCAGCAAAAAAAAACAGGCTCATGCCCATGAAAGCAAGAAAAGCTGAAGACAACTCTGAAATTCCATGCACGGGAACACGCCAGTTCGGGCCCAATTGAAGCACAACTTCCTGGAAGCGGGGATCAGACGCAAGTGCGTGCAACTGCGTGCAACGAGCGCAGTCCCCCCGATCCTTCAGAGCATACATGCAACGATTCATGCGCTCCCTCACCTGGCCAGGGCTCAAAGGGGCACACAAGGGACCGCGAATCTCAGCACATCCTCCTGCTGTAAAACCTCTGGCACTTCTGGCCTCGGGTGTCATCTCATACTCCTTCAGCCTGGCACAAGGCTGCTGGCGCAAGGCTTTGGTACAAGGCTGCTTATTGAGAGCGCGCGTGATTGCTTTTCCGTCGCAGGGCCCATGTGCTCATGTCCACGCTCCCATCCCACCTTGCCTGGCCCTGGCCTCCTGTTCGACACAGAAGGTATGCGGCTGCCTGGAAACACAGAAGACTCAAGAAGTCTCAAAGAGCACATCAATGGAAGCCACGAGCACCGGGCGCATTTCGGCGGCCAGCAGAGCCGGGCATCGGAGTTGGGGCGGCCTGCAACTGCGGGTCTTTCGTTTTTTTGGTTGCAACCTGCAAAAAGGGCCAGCATGGTAAAGCATATGGCAAGCGTGAGCGAGACAAAGCTCAGAGCAGCTTCTTTTTCAGAAAGCGTTTTGCTGTTTAGAGACAAACACTGTCCCAGCCATGGCATGTCGCATGGCATGTCGCATGGTGCAGGTGGCGGGCCCTGGAGTTGCACATTGCATATGACCCCCCCCCCCCCCCCCCCCTCCTCTCTTCGTGCTGGCCCGAGCTGTTCAGTGAACAGCAAAAATAATTGGGCCTTCCCATGCCGTTGGGTGCCTCCCCAGTTGTAAAGCCCTCCCATCCCCCTTTGTGCCTTCAGCTGCGGGGATCGCTGCGGATGCCGCTTGAAATCACGGTTGTCCCTTCGAGACTCCTGGTCACGCCGGTGTGTGGGGATTCCAAGGAGCAGAGAAGACCTGCACTGCCCACACTCTGCGCGAGACGTGCTCAGTGCCAGGCAGGGACGGCCTCGGATGGGGCTGGGGCTGTGGCTGTCAGCTAGAGGTGTCTGAGGATTTGCATTGATCTTTGAGAATATGTCTGAACGTGGTAGTCCAATCTGGAAGAAACTGGAGGCACAATCACCACGTGCAGGCCAAGTGGCAGCCATAGCTGGGGCACTTGTGCCACTGGCAAGCGTGCGCCGTGCCTATGTACACCTGAAGGCCAAACGCGGTAGATTCTTGAAGGTGTTTCAGTGCATAAAGCTGCACAACTGATCCAAGGGTTTTTCGATCAAGCTACTGAGGCGCGCACCAGATTCCGGCTACTGCTGTAGCAACAAAGTATTGGCCAATACAACAAGACTGAACTGGAATGGATGCCGTTTTCACAAACATATGAATACCAATAATCTGAAGCCAAGTTCATTAAGTGTGTGAGAAAGATGCGAACGCAAGCTTAGTGCACTCTTAGGGATGGGCATGTGCAAGCGGACGCATGAGGGATGCCCGGGAAATCCAAGCGATGCCGCGGGTGCATGATGCATGATGCGACGTGTGGTTGTTGCATAGGAGCGACTATGAGAGCCACTCCGTCCATGGGGGCCTCGGATCACGCACAAGTCGAAGACTTTGACAGGAGAACTCTCATACTGACTCTCGCAGTCGCAATCTAATCGCCATCTAATGTCGCAATCTGAGGGCGCGACAACGAGCGCCTTTTCACAGCCCCGAGTAGCCCTTTGCAACTGAACCAGTGGGCGCGCGGGGGACGGATTCAGATGTTCGGAGTGTCTAGGCCTCCCGGTGTCCATTCCCGCATCCACTCTGTGACTCTTCAGTCCATCTTGCAGGGATTAGCTGAGCTGCAAGGGGCCTTGAGGCCTTCAGAACAGTGGCTCTTCAGTGCCAGAGAGGCCCCCGGGCATGCCGAAGTTTAAGGCTCTTCAAAGATTCTTTAAGTCTACATGAGCTGAAAGATTCAGCATGCACTGGGAGTCTCAACAGACTCCTGGTGTGGCAACACCAAGGGTCCGTGGAAAAAAAGGCACCCAAAGCAACTGAAGCCGAGGGAGCAAGAGCCTCCTCAACTTGGCCAGGCAAAGTTCACCCTAGGAGACTCAGAGCATCCTGAAAACAGCAAGAGTATCAAGAGTGGGGCAAGCAAACATGAGACAAGATGATGCTCTCCGGGGCCGCTTCGAAATGGCGTCCCAGGAGTGCTGTTAACACACCTGCAGTCTTTGGCCAAACACCCGCAACCCAGGCAAGAGATCACTCCGGTAGGTGCCGGATCTCTTTAAAAGCTTGAATCGGCAACATATGGAAAACGCAGAACACAGCTTCAAAGGACTCCTGCGGCACTGCACAGGCTTGCTCTATCGACGCAAGTCGGCGACGGAGCATGCACATCGAATTTAGCACCAAACCGGAGATGCCCGCAACCTCACGAAGAGATGCTACACTTGCTACACGTGCTACACTTGTTACAGAACCATGTCTTGCAGGCAGGGAGTGCTTCCATGAAGCTGCCTCCAGCGCTGTTAAAGGCACTGATGGCACTGCACCTGCCCGGTCAGCCATTGCAACAAGACACTCTGTTGCACAGCTGCTGAGCCTCTTCGCTCTCCACAAACTAGGCTGCCTGCCACACGGACCACAGCAGACTGCAACAGCACCACTTTCAGCAGTCGCTCGACTGCGCCTTGCCTTGCCCACTTCAGGCGCAGCAACTGCCCCTGGATCAAACCTGAAGCAGGTGCTTCTGAACAGGACCCACCAAAAAACACAGCATCGCAAACATCCCCTCGGATCTCGCGATCATGATTGCCGTTTGCCCCCAACATGTTGCACTCATTGCGCTCGGTCCACCTGGGTCCGCGGAATCTTTGAATCCACGTGGACACGAACGGCCGCACACAGGGGACACACACCGAGTCTCGTGAAAAAATTGGCGTGAGACCGCAGAAAAACACATTCACTTACAACGAAACATTGGTCGCATGGAGCTCTAGGATGCTGCCTTGGGTGTGATGGCTCAGCTGCCTTTCGGCACCTCTTTCCTGAAGCCTCCTGCTCCTTCTGCTCCTCCGGCTCCTCCTGCTACTGCTTCGGCTGCACCTGGACCTGCTGCTCGAGACGCTGTCCGTTTCAACTCGCTCCGCCAAACTTCCCACATCGTCCACCTAAGATGCTGTCGGACATCTAATGGGCGATCTGAACAAAGCTGCCAGAACGTGCCCGAGGCCAACTAAATTTCTGACGGAGACGCAACTGAACGTAGACACAGGTATCCAGCCCATGTGTTGAGGGCCCAGTCGTATTCAATACCTGAAGGGCAGCAGAAGGAACAGGCAGCCTTCCATTGACAAGCACGTACTGGCTCTTAATTTGCAGATCGCTGCCGCCATCTGAAAACTAAAGGCATTAAATGGCATTAAGGTCAAGAGATGTCGGGAGTCAAGGTGCTGACTTGCGAAATGTGATGCTGCAGGAGCATGAAATCTGTAGAGACAACCACCGCATTGCCCGAAGCATCCTCCAGGTTGCATTGCGCTTTGGCATTCTGCAACTGGACGCAGGCGCCCTGCAGTTCGGAGGATGAGAAAGCATCATATAGCGACATCCCCTCCGCCAGGCAGTTACCGGTATGAGCTTCGAACATGGCAGCCAAACGGTCACTCACGAAAAGGACTTGGAACGTGTCCATATCGAAGAGCAGGTCGGAGTCTGACTGGGCCTTGACAACGGAAACGGGTCCATGAACAAACAATATATTTCCGTACATGCAACACACGAAAACAACGGGACCTGGACCGAGTTCAAACAAGAAAGAGTGCTTGACACAGCTTAGCGGCCCTGCCGACTGCAGCAGTGGCATGCTGCGGCACTTTCGGCGAGCTTCTCGCAGGCGCGGCAGACGCAAGCGGGCTCACGGCAGAAAAGTCTTGGAACTCCCGCACGCCCACCTGGGACACAGCTGACAGAAGCTAACTCCAAGGCGGCCTCGAAAAAGTACTAAAAGAATACAAAAATTCGGTGGCGCATGTTTGCTTGCCCGGTACCAGCTGGCACATCTCTCCTGATGGGCAGATGTGGACAGAGTTAGGAAGGTGCGGGACGGACAGAACTTTGGGTTTACAATAACGAAAACCAGGTGCTGATAGGTGGCCGGATTGAGGACAGAAGATGGCAGAATTTAGGCAGGAAAGCGTGGGAAGGGGTGCCGATGTGAGGGAGAAATGGGTGGAGGAACTTCCAACTCCTGATGGTTGGAGGCTAAAGGATGTCAGTCTAGAAACGACCCCTTCGAGCAGCATTTCTCCTGGCCTCGCTCTTTGCCTTGGGGAGGAGCAAAGTGGTTGCTGGTTAAAAGGCTAGGGATTCTCCTGGCTGACAAAGGAGGGAGGCCTTTTCCCTTGCTATCTGGGAGTGAAACCTCACATGACGCTGACTGCAGACAAAAAACACAACCACACACGCGTGCGCGCGCGCACGCACACACACACACACACACACTCACACACAAGAGCTTCAACTTGGATTGCTGGTCAGTCCTGATGGCTTGCGGAAGCGTACATGCAGCAGCTCCACTGACAGAGCATTCGACATCGAATCCAAGATCTTCGCATGCAGTGCTTGAGGAATGGCATGGCCGTCATCCGAACGTAAACTGCGCTCCACGTGCTCGCGGTCGGCTGGGCTGAAGAAGCTGACAAAGCTACTGTTCTCTGCTACAGAGCCAGAGGAATTCTCGTGTAGGAGCATAGTCGAGAACTGCTTGACGTTTCCTCGAACCTTCAGAGTGTCGTCGAGCTCGACGACAGCATCACAGAAACCGTTGAGGAGACGTGAAGCTGCATCGAGCCCAGTAGCGCTGGTCTTGAGATCAAAACCCACACTGACATTGGCGTAGATCTGCTGGCGAAAGGCATAGGCCAGAACAAGCGTGGCCACATGCATTGTGCTGTGCACACTGCGATCCTCACTAAAGGTCGATTGATCAAGTCGCACAATAACGATGAGCAGGTGGAGGCTGTTCAAGCAGCACGCCAACCAAAAGTGCCTCACCGACAAACAGCAAAGCAGCCGGACAATGAAGGTGCGGTGAGCAATCAGGTTGGTTGCTTGCCCACTACGATCAAGAACGAGCGGCACAATGTTAAGCAACCAGGCAATGGTGGTCCAGGAATCCAGTGTGCGAGGTGTGACCACAAAGGTGCCGAGGGTAGACCACAGCAAGCAAAGCGCGTACAGGATGATGGCAGCGATATCCAGTAATGGTGGAGTAGGATGCTCAATCTGTGAGATGTACCGGAACTGCAGCAGAAAGAAGCGAAATACAAATGCCAACATGATCACCCAGCTCGATTGGATCAGTAAGCCACAGAGCGCCGCATGAAAGCTCCGCTCCACATGTCTCAGACTTGCAGAACTTGCAAAAGCGACCCCCAGCGCTTCTCGAACATATGCCAGGAGTCGGCGAAAAGCGCCTGTGAGGCCGAGCGCGCACATCAGGACGAGGCATTATGATGCTCTCTGCCTCTTCAGAAACCTCTTGACAACAAAATCAAATCCTTGAAAACAATCTGAGCTTCATCCCGTACGCCCAAATCTCTCTGCCCTCACTTTCTGCATGGAAGCGCAAAGCAGCGGTCATGCTCTTTGCTTTGGAGCCCCTGCCTTTTGCTACGTTCACAGTGGGATCGCTGCGCTCTCTACAGCGTCTGCAGAGTGTCCCAAGCAGGATGATGAGCGTCAGGGCTTCCAGCAGGCACGTGCACAGGAACGTGATTGCATCAATGTCCATGGCGACAAGCAAACTGTTGTGCGCGACGTAGCCGAGGCGGCTAGCACACAGTCAACACAGCATGCACGAAGAAGACTGGTCAGCTCATCCATTTTCCTTCTGGGGGTCCCCGCAAGGACCATGTCGCGAGGCACTGCTGTGTCGTTGGACCCACAAAAGCCGCCCTCCAGCACCTGCTCACAAAGCTGCACGGAGAGCTGCAATCCATGTCCCACAATATCCCACAATAGTATGATCGACGCTACCCTGGCTACTCTGGCTACACGACACACGAGAACATGGAGTCCATGTTGCTGATGGCGGAAGCTTGATGCGAGGCCCTCACACGCCAGTATCCATGGTGGTCCAGAACCTTGGAACTTGGAACAAAGGATCGCCATCTTCGGCCGCTTCCGAGTGAGGAAAGGATCGTTGGAAAATTGGGCGAAGCTGCTCTCAGCGGTTCCCCCCCCCCCAAAAAAAAAACAAAAAAAGTGCCCTCAAAAGGCACGTTCCCATCTGAGGTTGCAGCATCCGCATCATGCCTCGGATCGCGTTGATATTCTGTCACTCGATGAACATCTCAAATCAGCTTGCCATTACGGTGATACGGAGATGGAGGAGAAACCCATGAGCACCGGCAGCTGTGACAAAAGCAGTGCTGGGCACCCCTTCGGAAAGGAAAGCCCATCGGCACCTCAACAAGATGGAAATGAGCTCATCACTGAAATCATGAACAGCACCCATCATTCCGCTGCTCGAACGCCAGAAACCCCAAAACAAATGAGCGCCAGACAACTTAGATCTTCCCCGGCCGGGATGCCAACCTGAATGCAGCGCATGCAGCGCAAGCAACGCACATTGCAGAGACCCCGAAGAGTCTCCTGACGGATGGAAAGAGACCAAAAGAGCGACTGAACAGCTCAGACCTCCAACATGGTTACCAAGCGCCCAGCGCACTCCCTGTAATGGCACATCACTCCGTTCATGTAGTCCCCATACCTAGAAACGCTGTGGCTGTTGAAGGTGGAAGTACTAGGGAAACGCAGGAGCGCCATTTACGTCCGCGCATTCCTTGCTTCTCAGCGGCGGAAACCAAAGCTCCGTTCCGACGTGGTGGTATCCGCCGGGCCTACTCACGATCGCGGAAGTCATAGCGAAGGGGGCGAAGGGTCATGTGGCTACAGCCGCAGCTTTGAAGGCGAGGAGCCGGTCGTCGACGCAGCCCCACATTGATCCCACCATCCTCGGACCGCTGCTTCGACTTAGAGAGAGTTAGAGAGAGTTAGAGATTGCATGAGATTACCCAATATTAAATTATTACCCAGCATCGAGCCGAGAGGAAACCCGACCCTGGGCGTGGCGCAGGCGAAGAATCCCGGATGTCAACAGACACAAGACAAGAGACGTGCTTGGTGTGCAGTGCATGCAAGCCCTGCAAAAACATCCAAACACTTTAGCGATTCAAGCCTGTTTCGGCACTTGTCGGAGCATCAAGATCATGATCGATTGACCCCTCCTCGAAACGCCCCGACTCAGATCATGCAGGTTTGGGAAGGCACTATCAACAACATCGAGATTAACGTCACAGTCCGCAACCGACCCACAAAGGCACCCCTCAATGGAATACCACCACACCATGGGGGTTAGCCCTCAGACCCAGCCCTGGCTTCACCTCTGGCTCGCCAGGAAAGCCCAGCAAAAGGCACGCGCAGCCAGCGGTTCTTTTCTGGACTGGAATCTTCGTGGTCTGGCTCCTCGGCAGGATGCCAGGATCCATCCAGGGAGAGGATCACCTCCTCACAGCCAGCCTCTTCGCATGGACAGTGGGTGAGCTCCGAGGATGACGCTTAACATACCGCAAAGCAGAAGCAAGAAACCCCTACAGAATCAGGAAGAAAAGGGATGCAGTGCTGACAAGCGCTGTCATGCTCGTAGTATGCGTGTTTCGTATGCATGTTGCACATGCCCCTCTATTGCACGGGCCAGCAAGGTCTACACTGCCCTGAATCGCATCCCCGATGTTTCGGTCTGGAGCCCCTGGCAATTTGAAACGAAAAACGTCCTACAAGAAAGGATTTGGCCTCTACAAAGGTCTGGATCTGGCAAGTGTTCAAAAGATGAAGGCCGCAGGGCGTATGCAACAGGCTGGGCATCCCAAACATGTGCCTGCCACTATGGGGTGGGAAGCCGTCTCCTACTCCAGTGCCTCCGTTTCGGCCAGGATCTGCTCCACGTAGCCTGAGATGCGAAAGCAACTGTGGCATACGAACACTATCCTCCATCTGAAGCCAGAGAGCCGTCCACCACAAGGTCTGCTGGTCGAAGCCGCTCCGTGCACACTGGGCAGGTCCAACCTCGAGTCTAGGCATATGTTGCCCCACAATGCTCTGCAGAATGCTCTGCAGAAGTACTTCAGTGGGCTCAGCGTATTAATGGCCGCGCGCGGCCTTGTGGCACAAAAGAGGATGCGCACAGCCATTGCCCACCATGTTATATGATGTACACAGAATACAGTAATGACCTCGCCCGAGGCATTTGCACAAGCAACGCTCGACTTTGCACAAGAATTGGCAAATAGTACAGACAATATTAGCCTCATCGGACAGGTGATGCTTGAGTACCGCGCGATTGTTGAAGGCATCCTGAGATAGCACTGCTGGCATCCGCACCACATCTCTGTCCTCCCCTTTAAAGAATCTGGCCGCCGTGTGATTGCTCATGGAAAGCAACTGAGATGTGCACCATTCCATGGTTGCTCCTGTTTTGCTAGCCACTCAATGACTCAAGATTAGCAAAAGGTCAACTACGACGCCACAGCATGTGATGCGACAGCCGATGTGTTCCGCGGACAAAGCTTCACATGAACATCATGACAAGTTAGGCAAACAAGGAGGAGGAGGAGGAGGAGAGCGGAGGGGGAGAGCAGCGCCTGCAGTATGCCCCAAGCCCAAAGCAGCGCAAGTGCCGACAGCCGCGGCCTCGAGCCTCTGAGAACATGATCTGCCACATGCTTTCCACCACATGATGCACCACATATGCTTTCTTTGATGTGCTTTGCCAATTTTGTGGTTGGTTTTTCTGCCAAAACAAACATCCTGCAATTAGCCCACTTATCTTTGCCAGGGGCGTGGCTGGGCGCTCAAGCCTCTCCAAAGAGATGGGGCAGAGCAGCGAGAGACGTGTCGAGGCCTAAGACATCAGTCCGCAAATCCTCGAACTTGCTCGCTCCGTCGAAACCTTCTGAGGCAGCGACAAAGTATTGCAAGTCTTCCTGCGGTTCTCACACGTCTCATAGCAAAATCTCAAACTAGATCCTGCTGCGACCACAGATTCGCACCCTTCAGCCCACAAAGCAACGCTGCGAAAGCTTCCAAAAGAAGGAAGCGCGCTCCTCCTTGGGCGGCCGCGCTTTGAGAAGAAAAAGGAGCCGCTCCAAGCACTCGGAGGCCGGCGCCCTCGAAAAGCCAACAACAAAACGCCTTGAAGATGAAAAACCGAGTAACATGTTCCGAGTGTCGCTTCGGGCATTCGAGGCACAGACTTCATGTTTCGCAGCAGAAGGCTATTTCATCAAGACCGTTTGAAAGGCCCAGTTAACAAGACGTGTCAAGGTGTGTGGTGAGCACTCACGGGTGCTGATTCGTGCCTGCACATGCTTCAAGACCTTCAAAGGCTTGTGTCTTTTCACATGTGTCAACTTTGCATTCACCCGGACAAAGAATCAAGCAAATTTGCAGGGTTCGTAATTTGAGAAAACCAACAGGTTCAGACCTTCGTGTTGACATCCACACAGAAAAGAGGCTCCCCTGCAATGAGCTGGTACAAGGCGGGCCCATGCTGGGTTGAGACCGTCTTGCGGTCGATGATATTCAGGATAGGCACGTCGGAAAAGGCAGGCCTTGGCACCTCACCACAAAGCTTCCGCGGCGCTTTGGCCGAGCAACGCAGCACACCTCCGGAGCTCCGAAAACTCTGCAAACTTGACGCACAGAATGCCAAGGACGCAATGTGATGCAATTGGGCAAGTGAAAGTTCCTTGCTGGTCCCTGCCTAGGGCAAACCCCGACCCCGCTGCGGCAGCATTCACTCGGAGCTGTAGTGCCTCGGACTCTCTGGATCACAGCACTCGCTTCCCATTGTGAGTCCTAACAATCTTCTTAGAACAATCTTCTTTAGAACAATCTTCTTACAGAGAACAAGCGGCGTTGGGGCCGGCCATGAGCTGGTATGTGAGCTCTTGGGGCACATCGCGGCGCCGGTGACCCTGCATGTGAGTTCGGCTGCATGAGTTGGCTCCTGCGTAGCCTCTTGCGCTCCCTCGTGTGCCCCCCCCACCTTCTCTGGGGGCGTGATGCGAAAAAGCTCCCGACCATCCGCCTTGCCAGCGGGCGAAACGGCCCATAAGCACCCGTCAAGCTGCCCTCCAACTCTGTTCTCTACAGCCACGCCTCAACCCTGAACAGGCGCTTCATGGCAAATGATACCGGCGATGCCCTCCGAACATTCCTGAAGCAAGCACCTCCAGCGTCAGCTCATCTGGCCAAACCTCGCAAACGAGTGAACTTTTATCCTACTTAAGATGTCATGAGACGTCATGAGATGTCATGAGATGTCATGTGACACGCCTTATATGAGCTCGACAAACACTGCAGCATTTCTACAATTTGAGACAGCCTGGAGGAGCTCCGCAGAGTCCAGGGCCACCATGCGGACCCACACCGCCTCGCCAGCGGCGCGCCACTCCTTCAGCAAAGGAAGAGACCTCAGAGGCTCGGAGAGGGCTCGGGAGAGGGCTCGGAGAGGACATGCTCCGGGGCCTCTCGAGTCCAAAGAAGGTCTCGAAACTTGAGAAGAGCTCTCTCATGGCGTTCGGGAAGCGGGAAGCTTGGAGTTCTGCAACCGGGGCACAGAGTGAAGCGGTGCTCCGCAGATGTGACGAGGCACATGTGCAGTAGTCCCCCGTCCACCACCTGCTTCAAGGACTAAACCCCGAACATCACCGAGGAAAACTGCTCTCCACGTGGGTCCACGCCTCGTTGAAGGGGTCCATGGCACGAAAACGGCATTTGGGGCACCAGAATCGCTTTGGATCGTGGCTGAATCTCCTGTCATGCTGTCACGCTGCGCTTGACTGACACGCCGTGAGTTAACTGCTCCGTTCCGCGTCCCTAACTGCAATGACCAGCCAAGTGGCACTTTGCCCAAATCGAAAAGCTCAGCGCAACACCTGAAAGCACCCGCCGCGCTTTGCTGCTTGCTGTTTCTTTGAGACACTCCATCCTACACATTACAGCGCCGCCGTGCTTCCATGTGCTTCCGGGCACCCGCAGCGCAGCGGCCGGAAGCCGCTCAAGTTTCCGCTCAAGCCCGAACCCAATGCGAAGGTGTCTCCGGACCTGGAGATCTGATCTCAACCCCCATGGTGCCCCCATGGTGCCCGCCATGGTGCCCGCCACGTGCCCCGTGCATGGCAATCTCACAGACCTGAGCCCAGCACTGGACCAACACCACCTTCGCTACCTCCGGCTCCACCTGCTTTGATTTACGAGAAAGCAGTGGGAGACCGTTTCGCTGCATCACATGCCGCAATTTCATACAATCACACCGAATCGCACCACAGAATCGCGCCACATCATAAATGGTCGTGCATGGCAACGTGGTGCTTGGGAGAAGAGCTTCTCGCTTCTCTGCTCCCCATATGCTCTCAACTTCACGTCCACTCCTGACCTGCACCTGCTGTTGCACCTGCCGTTTCTTGGCTGCCTCGCCCTCACCATCCTGGCAATGCGCCCGAAACTCCATGGAAGCCCCAAGATCTCCCAAGCTCTAAGCCCAGAAGCCCAGAATCTTCCGAAAAGACCGGCAGGCCCCATCTGGCCAGGGTCATGCAGCTACGTCTGCTACGTGGAATTGGGGCTTACGTCTCCTTCGCTTTCCGCTTCGCCACAAGGCGCTCCACAAGGTCTTCCTGGATAGGCTCAAGGTTCAAGACAGTTTCAATTCACGCGGCATCTGCTCAAATCACTCAACACCAAACACACACACACACACACACACACACACACACACACACACACACACACACACACACACACACACACACACACACACACACACACACACACACACGCTCATACTCACACATCAAGCGCTCTCTCATCGAAATCTAATCGTCCTGCAATGGAAAGTACGCATACAGGATAAACACATATATGCACAGCATATACGGTGGAAGATGTCACAGGCTGGAACCTTTGCAGGTGCAAGGCGGGTAGCTTTGTTGGACACAGTCACAGTCAACCTGTGTCCTCCTGCTTCTATCACAAGCAAAACAAGCATAACTACATGAGGCATGATGCTTTGCTGTTGACATGTCCCACCGCAGAGCGGGTGACACACACCCACCCACACTCCGCACCCCCTTGCCCGCTTGTCGGGGGGGAAAGGGGTTGTCGCAGAACCAACCCTTCTCAAGCCTTCGTCACCGGGGCTTGTTACAAGCAACAAGCAAACACTTCTGGTGTGGCCGGGGAGAGGTAGATGCACAGAATTGCACAGAGTTCATGAGCCCTAGGCCTTGGATGCCCGTCCAGGTTGTATGCCGCGTGCACGGCAGAGCCCTTGCCTGGACGCTGCAACCGTGTTCCCCATCACACTAGATCACACTCCCAAAGTAGCAAACACCCACTCTGGACCCGCTACCCTTTAGCTAGCCTCTAGCAGCACTCTAGCGGCCAAGACACAGCAGCGGCAGCGACAGGGCTGCAAGCTTTGAGCGCTCGCCATCCATGGCATGCCAACGTGTGTGCAGGAATCTGGTAATGGATGCGGAAGCGTATCCTTCACCGCTTCTGGCAAAGCGACGCAACGATCATGTACTGGCAACTTGGTATAGCTGGGTCAAATCCATGCTCCGCGCGAGCGGGTAGCTCAGCAGCTATCGGTGAAGGCCGCCCTTCTGTGTTTCCACGTGAATATTCAGGCTACCCTTAGAGAGCTGTTAAGCACGAAAGCGCGAGAATTTGAAGCAATCTTTTTGACAGGCAACCAGAATCAAGGCGGAATCCGGTTCGACACATTGGGTTAGCTCAGGCATCCGCACATCTTTGCTCCTGTCGCACCGGGGGATGTGCGGAACCTCAAGCAGGTGTTTGCCCAGTCTGCCGAGCAAGAAACAACAAGAGCACGTGTAAGTTCTGCACGGGATCTGCGGCATTAACCAGACGGTAGATTCGAGAGAGCTTCTTCTCCTCGACACGCATCCGGCATGCAGAATGTGGCAGAGCCGCTCGGTGTCCCTTCCCCCATGACACCGGCCATCACCAGCAGAACTCCAAGCAGCCAACCACCATTCGAGCGAACGGCCCATTGACAGACTCGGCAAGGCTAACTGGCATCATCTTACGTGTGCAATTGCAAGGTCACCAAAACCAAGGCCACCAAGACCATTCCTCTGCTGGCTGGGTTTCCCGGCTCGCGGCTGACCGAAAGTGTAGAGGGTTGGCTCCTCACGGGTCCTCCAACAGAGGTGCATCGAGGTGCAGCAAGCTTAATGCCTAAGAGCAAGTCTGATGAAAGCAACGACAGCAATGCAAGGAAGGCCACTCACACTCTCAGCACTCCAGAAGGAGACGTTGAAGGCCGCAAGCAGCGCCATGGAGGCCCCAAGGCTGTGCCCTGTGATCCAAAGCCTTGGCGCTTCCGAAGCTTTGGCATCACAATTCAAAGGGTCCTTTTTTGGCCGAATGCTTTCACTTCGCTTCAAGCTGCACACACTTTAGAAGCCTGTTCAATGAGGAGCTGCTTGAGGGTAGGTGAGCCCCATCAGCTTTGAAGCTTAAGGCTTTAACGGGTTGTGCAGATCCCGCCAGGCTTGTCAAAGGCTCCCGGCTGGCATGCTGCGCACTTCGCCTCCAACTCCTGCAAGGCCTCACCACCGGCTTCAGCAGTTTCAGCTCTTCGGGTTCTCCGAGGCTACGACAGTAAGTGACAGCAAAACCACCAGCATCACGATCTCCGAAATTGCAAACAGCAACGTGGAGAGAGCCGATCTTGCAAAGGCAGTGCCAGCCCAGCACCGGCGCGCAAGCCCCCACCCTCAAAGCCACACTCAGGGGCAGCTGCCGGTGTGAGCTGTGGAAGGAGGTCATCGGCCTCGGGACTTTGCGAGTTCTTGAGCTGAACAGTGCAAGGAAAGCTGCAAGAGGGAAAGCACCGGGAAGAGCATCATCGGCCCCAAGCTGCGCCCAAGAAGAACTCGTTGACTCGAACCTGAACACGACATGACGGTTCAAGGAGAGGCTTTGATCCCTGTCAGTTGCCTGGCCTCTGGGTTGTTGGGCATGAAAGGCACCAACCGATGCCAAAGGAGCTCGACTGTCACCTGGTCCAAGGGTGTGCAAGAAGCATGGATCCTACACTGAAGCGTGAATTGGGCAAGAATACAAAGCTGAACCTGCCTGCGTCACTGTGTCAGACCCACGAAATGCAATGACCTCAAGACATGGAGATCGCAAATGGTCGTCGCATGGGTTCGAAAGAGTTCCTGGGAATCGGCGACTGTGCGAAGCATTGCGCTGCACATAGCGGACTAGCCACTGGTAGTTCAAAACATACGACATGCACCCTTGATTGTAACTGCCAAGTGCTACAATGCTACACAGGTCACATCCAGTGACGGCAGAGTGCAAGGCAATCCGGTTCGTCGACTTGTCCACAGCGATAAAACCAAAGGCATTGTCCCAAATCCCGATCCTTAGAACGTCGGGATTTGGTCGAGCCTACACCACGGTCCCCAGAATGAGCCGCGAGACTGGTAGTGAAAGGTTTTCACCACTTCCGCCGTGACCGGAAGACCATGCCTCAAGGCATCCACATGATACACCAAAGCCCGTGCCACGTGCCCATGCAACAAAAACTAAAAGGCACTGCACAAGAACTCCAAAGCACCTCATCGGGTCATCGTAGTACGCGGCTTCCGCATATCTCGCCATCCTGGACTGCTGGACTCTCGAAGCAAGTGGAAGCAAAAGCGGTCCAGATTCGCACCGATTTTCTCAGGGGCCGTTGCTCGACAGCATCCTGGCGCCGGAAGCTCGTCTTGTGTGGCTCCTGCACGAAAGTTCTATTTGCCTTCAGAGGCATTTCATATTCCTGCCATTCGATTGTCCGGGTTTTGTCTCTCCTGCGGGGGGCAGCTGCTCTGATTCACGAACACTGGAGTGCGGCCTGGCGCACGCATTTAGCAGATTCGCACCAAAATTGGCAAAAAACTTGCATCACTTATAAAAGTTGTTCTGTCCGTCCGGCACGCAGCAACGCCTCTCGAAAACCCCAACTTATCACGTGAAATCCGCGAAGACACCAGATGCTTAACTTCAGCACCACGCAGCCTTTTCCACATCGAGAGGAGGCACCTGAGAAACTATTGTTCAAACACACTTGCGATGGAGGCAAAACACAACAACCCATCGTCATCTGCCAAGCTGCTAAGACACCGCTGTTCTTCAGCACACCAACCACAGCCGTCCGTGATGCAGCTGCTGCAGAACCCTGGCATGAGAAAAACAACAAACATGGAAAGAAGGAAATGGCAGCACAATCACGAATTGGCAATTTGTCATGGCAACTCGCCGTTGCGCACCGTGCTGTGAGCACTTGAAGCCAGAACTCTCTTTCTCACGGCCTGCTTGTGACATAAATGCACAACCAAGTACCATGATGCACATTCAGGCATAATCCGAGCATCTGTTTGATTAATACCTCCACCACATTGAAAGAATTTTTCTTCGTCGGGCATCCGGTTGCAAGACTACTTTCCATTACGGGGTTTCGTATGGGGAGATACCACCATATTTATAGGAAATTTTCCGGGGTGGTTCAAAAATCTGTCTGCAGGCTTGTCTATGAAGCAATACTTTGCTACTCAGTTTTCATAGAGATTCAATACACTCCTATTGTTGTCAATACATTCCTATTGTGTTTCATAGAAAATCAATACATTGCCATGGTCTTATTATTGCGGCGCCCTGCCTTTCTTGTTGCGCCACCAATGAAACAGATGCTCGGATTAGTTGACCCAACGTTGAACACAACGCTCACACACATCAAAACCCGCACAAACAAGCGTGCAAAACGACCAGGCCTGTGCGAGCATCTTGCGCCACGAGATACGATAAGTAGGAGGGCAAAGAAGCCCCACCATACGCCTTTGAACATGCTAAAGTCGCTCAGCCGCCCTTCTCTGAGACTCTGCCACGTGGCTTAGCAATCCCTACAACAGCAGGAAACCAACTAACCAGCATGCAAAGCCAGCCAAGCCTGGGCCAGCAACAGCGGTAGCAACCACCAACTAAACATGTTGGTGCTGGCATAAGCTAAGCACTATGCACCATGGCTTACAGATTTCATTGCATCATCCGCTTCAGTTGCCACGTTTCTGCAGCACTTAGCCTGGTAGTTGCCAAACTTGATGCGTCTCTTGCATGTTTCAGTCGTGCTGCAGCATGAAGGGTGCGCCATGTTTTGGTTCATTGAGCACAGCTGACCATGTGAACACTGTGCTTTCAGCTTCACACAAATAGAAACTTTCATCGCAAGAGCTACGACCTTCATTAATAACATGGCACGCGGCTTTCAGGCAACGCTGCCAGCCCCGCAGCACGAGGATGTAATGCGGGGGGTCATGCCACAGAAACCTCCCCAGCCTCTGGGGGTGGGACGAGGTAGACTTGAACCAACTTGGATTTTTGCCTAACAGCAAAATGGAGGTGCGAAGCACTCTCCCGCTTTGTTTGCTGAAACCCCAAACTGTGAAACCCCAACACTACCACTTCCATTTGTACGACGATGATGACTTCGACCACTACTACGACCACCACTACCAGTACTTCTAGTGCTATTGCGACGAACACGGCTACTACTACTACTACTACTACTACTACTACTACTACTACTACTACTACTACTACTACTACTACTACTACTACTACTACTACTACTACTACTACGACTACTACTGCTACTACTACTACTACTACTACGACGACTACTACTACTACGACTACTACTACTACTACGACTACTTCTACTACTACTACTACTACTACTACTACTACTACTACTACTACTACTACTACTACTACTACTACTACTACTACTACTACTACTACTACTACTACTACTACTACTACTACTACTACTACTACTACTACTACTACTACTACTATACTACTACTACTACTACTACTACTACTTCTTCTTCTACTACTACTACCACTACTACCACTATTACTACTCCTCCTCCTCCTACGACTACTATTACTACTACTGCGACTGCTACTACTACTACTACTACTACTACTACTACTACTACTACTACTACTACTACTACTACTACTACTACTACTACTACTACTACTACTACTACTACTACTACTACTACTACTACTACTACTACTACTACTACTACTACTACCTACTACTACTACTACTACTACTACTACTACTACTACTACTACTACTACTACTACTACTACTACTACTACTACTACTACTACTACTACTACTACTACTACTACTACTACTACTACTGCTACTGCTACTACTACTACTACTACTACTTCTTCTACTACTACTACTACTACTACTACTACTATGACTACCACTACTACTACTACTACTACTTCTACTACTACTACTACTACTACTACTACTACTACTATTACTACTACTACTACTACTACTACTACTACTACTACTACTACTACTACTACTACTACTGCTACTACT